AAATTACTTCCGACACTTATACACCCGCGGACGGATGTCGCAGGTTAAGAGTAATTCCCCGCTGTCCCGGAAATATCCGTCGGTTTTCTCCATTTTTTCGAGCTCGCAGCCACGGCGCGGAAGTTCGTCCGCTGCTTCATCTCTTATGAAAAGGATTAGCGCTAAGCCACTTCGATCCATCGTCCCGAAAAGTCACCCATCTATCCCTGTTATCCCTCGTTTTCCGCGTTTCGTTAAAAAAATGTCAAACGCGCGCGCATCGACTTTATACAGATTACGTCGCGCGACATTCGATTTCCTTAACTGAAAAAAAAAAAAATAATAATTTAACGATTGCGCGACTCAATGTATCTCCCTACATATCGCACGCTTTATATTTGAAGCAGTAGATGTACCACACTAGAATTTAAGAAGCTCTCGGGTGCAAATTTTGTCAAGTTCTACGAAGCTTTAAACGTTGCTAAAATACGCCTAGATCGAATAGTCTCGCTGTCTAACTAATTGAAAAAATAATTTCTTTTTGTTTCCAAGTGCGACAGTGCTTGGCGACACAATGCGACGCCGGCGCCGTTTCTCCAGCAGCAGAGTCGCCTTAATGGCAAACATACACAAGTAAGTGATATACAATAAGATATCTCTCGATCGACGAGAATAATTCTCTCCATCTGATTGCTCCCGAGCGTGGAAGTTCATCTTCCGAGATATGTCTGATAAATAAACTCGCACGGTGCGGAACGATCGATCGCGTTCGTCGAGAGTGCGTACAACACTTGGCGAAATATGTTTCCATTCCGCGGGACGCGGCTCAAAGCTAATGCATCTTATAGTGGGTTTGATCAACTATCGGAGTGGTGGCGTCGTGCCGCTCTCTGATCTCTCCGAGCTCTATCTCGGCCGAGCAAGATTAATGACCACGACAAACGTAGCCGAGCACACGGACGCGCGTTGTTGTATCTCGCGGCTAAAATGACCCGTCAAGATCAACCGGCTCGGGGGAGAATCCGAATGGCCAGGCGGAACGGACGTTCGTCTCGAGACGATGCTTCATGTCCGCACGAGGGGGTCGCAAAAGTTTCCGCTCGCGGGGGACGACACGGCGCGATGCTATCATCAACGCGAAATCACACGCGTTCGCCTCGTCGGTGTCTTCACGGCCGAGTGAAAGTGAAACGCGCTCGCTCGCGCTCGCGCGCGTTAACTCATGCAGAATACCGAACGCCGCTGGTAAAAAAGTAATTTCTATGCGATGGCTTCGTCGGAACCAGCGGCGACGGCCGCTTTTTACGTCTATCGACTGCTCCCACCGATGACCTTTAGCCGGAAAGATTTCTTATGTTCGGAAATATAGGCAGGCGAGCGCGGCGCAGGTAAAAGGCGCGGTTTAATTTAATTTCTCAACTAGGGCTCCTCTGTTTACCTCCGCCAGCTGTTGCGTCGTGAATTGTTAAGGACTAATCTAGGACTGATCTAAAATTATGAGCGCGATTATTGCACGGCTTCGGTCGCTCGTTCTGATTATTACGCCTCCCCCGATTATTACGCCTCATTCTCTTGCGCACGGCGCACGCTCGTGTAATTGTTGCTCCGCGTTTGTCACGCTTTCTCTATTTGCGTGGCTGTATCGTTGAGCGATTCTTACAACGTACAATCGATCGTGGCGGGGTAAGCAAAATTAATGAAGCGTTTATCGCAATCAGAGGCGCGAAAAGGCTCGCCGGCACGGTTTCCTCCCTGTTGGCATTAATCTACCCTCGAGGTACTCTACTCTCCCAGGATAAATATCCGATCCAATTAATCACCAGACGTCTAATTAGCGGCAAGAAATTCCATTGCGATGGATTTTCCCCGGTAAATTGATTCCGCCTTTTAAAGCGTTTTCCAGGCTGAGGAGATGGAGAGGCGGCGGGCTTTTCACGAGAGATTTCAGTCTGGTTTTATCTTGGAATCGCACTGTCCGTGAGTGATTAATCGATGAAATTTAGACTTTACAGCTCGCCCCGGCAGCACGGCGAAAAGAACTTAGAACTCTCGTCTCGGCCGGGAAAGGGGAGAGACTCGAAATGATTTCGACATTATTGTGCGGTATTTTATCTTCGCGTTCGCCGTTCTCCCCCACTTTCTTCTCTCTTTCTTTCGTTCTCGCTCGCTCGCACGTCCCGTCGGAAAACCTTTCGGTTTCGCCGTATTACGTCAGAACCGATAAAAAGCGGGCCAATGAATATTGAATAGAATAAATGAAGAGAAGCTCCGCTCGAGGAGCCGTTGAATTTGTAGGTGAAACGCGCCGCAGATAAATCGAGGACATTCCGCGCGCAATTAGAGCAATTCGCCGCGAATCGCGCGCGACTTGTCGGATCGTTACGAAGGAAGAACGGATCCGTATGGAGAACAGCCGGAACTCGCGCGGTCGTTCCCCTTTATTACGGCTTTATTACGGCTCCCCTTCAACCTCGATGCATGGATTAGCCTATAAAGAAATAATGCAAATTGGCGGCCGGCGAGAAACCGGGCGGGCGGCGCGGGAGTACGACCAGTGTACGCTTCCAATAGGCTTCCGAGGCGAAAGGGCGGGAGAAGGGAAAAAAGAATGGGGAAAAAAGTTACAACGCAAAAATATGGATACGCCAACACCATCGAACGGGATATCTTTTTCCATGATAGTCCACTTTGATAATCCGCTCCGCGCTTTCCCGAGAAATACTCGGGGAGAAATGTATATCTCGTAACGCGCGCAGATATAACGCTCGACGCGAACAGAGGGTGTGGTCTATAAACAGGTTCGGCCTGTCTGTCGAGCGTATCAAATGGGAGAGAAAGAGAGACAGAGACAGAAACAGAGTCAGACAGAGAGAGAGAGAGAGAGAGAGAGAGAGAGAGAGAGATCACATCTGGAAAGATAAATTTTAGCATGCTGCTGTGCGGCTTCACCACTTATCACCCCCTTTTCCCGCCTCTTTTATTGTTTCTCGTATCTTTTCGACGGTTTTTCCCCGTGAACCTTTAATTATCTACTCCCCCTTTCCCCCCCCGAAGAAGACGAAGAACGGCCGTTCGTCGGAAATAAAAATCGGACAGTATGTGTCGTATGTGAGGACTTCACTCAATGGCGTATAAAAAAGCTGCTGTAATAAGCAGAAAAATTAAAACAGTAAAGTCTCGTGCGTGATATGCGATTATCGTTGCTCTTGTTTTGGTATTGTTAATTGCTTACGTAATACCGTCTTGCCCGTTCTCGTCAATTTTAAATTCATGCTACGCGGCAATTTTGCGATATATCTTCTGTCGTCCCCGGCATTTCTCTCGCGAGATCGTGATTTTCCATCAATTTGGCACGTACTTTCCCGTACGGGGTCTCCGTCAATAAATGAGGGTCGATGGCTGATTGCGCAGCGTTACGATGGCGCAGCATTCCGTGCCTGGGCGCACGAAGTTCTGGCCTAATTCTCGCTAACAGTAATCGTGCTCTCCATTTAAAAGTTATTAACGGCCACAACGTTTCCCAGCAAAATTTCATCTCCAAGTGCTCCGCGAACAATCTCCCGTTCATGAGTTCGCGCGGCGCAATATTCCGTAGGAAAGGAGAAAAAAGACAGAGAGAGAGAGAGAGAGAGAGAAAATTATCGTTTGATCGTATTTTTAAGCGCCCGACGTTTTGCATCCAATTGGAACTTCGTGGCGAAACGTTAGTCGTTCCGCTGTACCGAGGTTACATTTTTACAATGCCCTGTCGTTCATAGCGGAAAGGAAAGAAAGAAAAGGTTCCGCGACGTTCCGAGGCGAAGTCAATTGCAAAATTCATGCCGCGACAGTTGGAGTCAGAGTCGTTAGAAATTAAGGCCGTGAGTTGAAACGGAACACTCTCTCGCTCTCGTGTAACCGCTCACGTATTCCGACTACTAACGCTGCACTTTTATTTGTCGGATCCCTCTCGGACGTGGTCGATTCGATTTTTCGATAAAACTGCGTTGTCTCATCTCTCTCTCCCGTCGTTATACTTATGGCGGCGCTTATCTGATTATCGAGCTTACCGATAAAGCTCCCACCCACCCCCTACCCGTCATCTGCCGTGGCTCCAATAAGCCGCTGCGATAAGAGGAGCACGAAGTATCAAGTAGAAACCTCATTTTCTGACTATCGCCCGTCAGGTGAGGTCTACGTGAGCGCGCGAAAGAGCTCTACATCTCGGGAAGCTCGACCGAAAGCTTAAAAGCGAGTACCTCGAGGCAGGAACGAGCGAGAGGCGTATCGATGCTTCTTAGTCACGGAGTCCGATCAATAATATGTATCAATGTTTCGCCACCGAAATGATCACGTTGCAACTATGCGTCGCCGAATTGCGTCGTTTTCGTGCTCACGCTATTTCATTCATGCTATCGATCTCGGTTAATGAGCAACCATGTCAATCTCGATCGTTTACTTCCGCTCGATATGTCCGGTGTTGTCGTCGACGGTCGACGAACGGAGACGTTGTGCGAATCAACAAATATAAATCGATCGAACATTGAACTCCGACTTGACCCGTAGAAATCGATCCGTGCGGAAAACCCACCCTCTTTCTTTCTCTCTCTCTCTTTCTCTCTCTCCCTCCCTCCCTCCCTCCTTCCCTTCCTCTTTTTCTTACTCGCAGTTTACGCGACCGTAAAACGCGAGCCGTTACACGCACACATCGGTTGACACGGTCGTGTAAATTATCCGTTACGCAAGCCGTGACTCGCGCGCGCGTGCGTGTGTGTGTGTCGCCAACGATCGCCAGCATCCATCGATTCTTCCGAATGAGAAACATCCGCAGAGCCAGAGAGAAAGGGAAAGAGAGACACGAGACGGAAACGTGTCTACATGTGTTATACGTGTACAGCTTTCAAGCGCGAGTTCGACAAGCGCCTAAAAGCGTCCTTGAGCAGAATCGCCTCTATACGGTTCTACTTTTGGGCGCTCGTGCGTGTTACACGTGTGTCCACGTGTGTATGTGTGTGTGTGTGTGTGCGTGCTTGGCGACTCACCGGGTAGGGAGAGATCTCGTCGTGCAGAACCACCCAGCGGCGGGCGTCGCGTCGGCCGCCGAAAGACAAGCACGTGGAGTACGGAATCATGGTGGCCCCGAGGGAGAGAGTGAGAAAGAGAGACCGGGAGACAGAGAGGAAAAGTAGGGGCTGCTTCCGGCCGCTGTTGCTGCGGCGACGGCCGGCGGCGTCGGCACGATGGGGATGGTATCGGCGAAGCTCTCGCTGGTCCACCTTCGTGGATGACGCCGACGGCAGCCTGCGACGAGGTGACGCTGACGACGAAAGACAGCTGCGACAACAGCGGCGACGGCGGCGGCGGCGGCGGCGACGTCCACCGTCGGCGACGATCGCGCCGGACCGGGGCTTTACCGGGGGGAGAATCCGCGAAGGAAAACAACGGACGGGTGGTCGCGCGACACCGGCTAAGCGGACGGCCACGAGACTCCGGCGCAGCCAGAGGCTCGCGCGACCGCTCATTGGTCGCGCGGCGAACACCATCGCCACACGGCTAAGCCTGCCGGTCGGCGCGCGCAAACGCGCCCCCGGAGATCAATGAGAGCCGGAGACGCGCGACGCGTCAGGGTTCGCCGAGCGAAGGGGGATGAACGGGGGGATCCAACAGCCGCGGCTATAAGGATGCAATCGTCGCCTGTCAATCGACCGGATTGTCGGGAGGAATGAACCGGTCGCGTCTCGAGATCTCGGGAGAGGGGAGGGATAAATGTAAATTTTTCCAAACAACAGACGATTTCTCGAAAGTACTCCGACACGCTGCGATTTTTTTCTCCTCGCGGTATCGCGGTGTTGCAAGTCGCCGCCGGCTGTGTTTCGGCCTGATCGTCCGAATTCGATTGGCGCGATGATAAAATGCGCGACGCGCGTAATTGAGCATCTCTCGATTTCGAAGCTGCATATCATCGAGTCGGTAAAGCCGTTGGAGGTAAAGATTATGTAGCACTAGATTGAGAAGCATCGATGTAACTACGTGTGTTGTGTTAACAGAGTAATTGTCGGATATAACTCCTGTTCTATTGTGACAGTAATTATGTTATTACGTGAGTGTCGTAATAACAATTATTATCGTTGCATCGTATCTCTCTCCACCATGAATTTACGGAAATAGAAAGGCCGTAAAGTCCTGTCCTCCGTCATTAGATAAGTGTGATTCATTACTACAGGGGAAAACAGTCGATAAGTGCATGGAAACACATGATACGCATAAAAATCCAACCACGTTTGCCGAGTGAAACATTCTTACTCCCTCGCCACGATACAGATATCCATATCTCTTTTTCACAATATCGGGAACAAATTCAATATCGATGTCGTTTCTCGATATCGCGTACCGCTATCTCTTATGCTCGAGACAATAGCACAAGATATACAACGATTACAAGGGAAAGATACCGAGAGTAATGACGTTTCTCTAATGACTGTTCTAACTTTTACCATGATTCGCGAAACGCGAGCTCTCGTGAAACGACCGACGCGATAAAATCGGCAACGGAGCAGCGAGGTAAACGAGAAGAGCACCGAGTCGACGTACTGGCTCATTTGATCCGGTAAAAGATAATCCTAAACAGAGAATAGAAAAAAAAAAAAAAAGACCGAAACTCCACCTTAAAATAACGAGGTACTACGCGGCCCGCTAAAACACACGACTCATTAGTATTATCATCGACTCACACAGTCGTTCTACTCGCTTGTACCGCCACGTGCGCGCGATATCCCCGCAGGGACCTTCGAGAGTGACGAAGTTCGTGCTACGTCACCGACAATTCGTGGCATATGGTTCGTGGCACGCGTGCAGGTGACGGCTGATAGAGCGAGAGGGGTCAAGGGGCGGCAGGTGCCGGCAATAGGAGGCGAGCGGAGGTGGAGTAGGTAGAGCGCGCGCGAGCGAGCGCTCTCGATAGAGCGAGAGGGTCGGCTTCGTCATTTAATTTTAGCACGATCGCGTGCAGCCAATGGCTGCTCGCAGGGGCATGTCGCGTGGCCCAGGGAGTCGCTTGCAATATCGATCCGGACTTTACGCACCTGAAGCGCACCTTCTTCCCCATATAAAAGGAGAGTCGCGTCCGCTCGCTCGTCCGATCGCTCGTTCGTTCGCGCGAGAGGCCGAGAAGCCGAGAGGCCGAGAGAGAGAGAGAGAGAGAGAGAGAGAGAGAGAGAGAGAGAGAGAGAGAGAGAGAGACTGAGAGAGAGAAAGAGAGAGCGAGCGGAATCCCCTTGTTCCGGGCCGCGTCTTCGCCATCACCTCGATCTCTTTTTACACGCGAGCGCCCGTACAGAGGAATTATTCGCTCCCCGTTAAGTTGAGCGATCCTCATTCTCTCCCCTTCGCGCACCTCGCGCGCGCGCACGTCTGCCTCGTAGCTCGCTCACTACCCTTTCCGCCTGCTCTCCGTCACGTCTCCAGCGCGAATAAATAGAACGTAACACACAAAGTGCTCTTACACGCTCTCCTACGTTCGCCTGAGCGAAGGAAAGAGAGCACCCGCGGAAATCATATTAAATCCCCTCTTCGTGCTTTCCTTCGTATCCGATCTTACCGCGTGTACAGCTACGCGCGCACCGCTAGTGGCGCCGATCGGCGATGCGTGACCGTAAAATGAAGAGTAGGAAAGAAAACAAAAATCGTCTCGACGTGCCTAGTTACTATCCCGCTCGAGCGTGCGTTCGCGATCTGCTTCGTTTCGTTTTCCGCGTTTTTCCCTGTCGAGATCGCGATACCGCGCGATTAACGTCCGTAGCTCTCCGTGCCCGTTGAGACCTCGCACAGCTATGAACACTCTTCCCCCCCCCCCTCTCTCTCTCTCTCTCTCTCTCTCTCTCACACATCGCTCGTCTTTCCTCCCGAAGATCGAAGGACGCATTGAGAATACACCCAATACTATCTCCTATCCGCGGATTCTTCGGCCTATTTCCCCGATCGCGATATACCGCGACGAATCATTCTCTCTGTTTACCATTCCACCCAGGAATGGCGCTTAGGGGTGCCGAGTGACTTAAAGTGCGGTTCAAACGATAACCGTTGATGGCAAAGCCGCGTCTGCTGTTACAGCGTCTGCTGTTCGCGTATTAGGATCGAAGGAAACGTGCACATATGACAAAATCGAGGTCGAATCGGCGAGCGTGCGAACGCGGTTTCTTAACTTTTCAACTCCCAACTTTGCTAGCGTGTAATACGCCCGTTTACAGGGCGAACGGCGCTTTCGCGCCCTGAGCCAGGACATTTCAGCGACGAACCGACCGAGAGAGAAAGAGAGATATAAAAGGTGTCGTCCCAAGAAATATTTTTAATCTACTTGGGGTAAGAGCGGATTCGCAACGGCGCGTACGTATTATAGGTGGGCCGTCGATAAGTACTCTGCATTTATAATATAACACGCCTTTTTACGGGCGCCTTCTTCGCGCTTGTTATGTCACCCGCCTGATCGCAATCTGCGCGCATCGCTAATTACATCTAATTATAGAGTTCCACTCACGTTGAGAAGCGTCCGGATGATCTGCTCCGATATAGTGACCCCCCCTCGGCGTGAGAGCACAGCCGGTGGCACGACGATGTCCAGCGGTAACCTGGGTAGCTCGACCATCGTCGTCGTCGCCGCTCGATGCGAATTTCCGCGTCCAAATTTCCTCCTGAAAGCAAACGAGCAAACACGTGTTTGAAAAACACTCTATGTTACGAGTTCTCTCTTTTTCATTTTCTGCACGACAGTCAACAGTGCGAACGGAAGATTGCAGTTTGTCGTTGTGCTCTCTCTCTCTCTCTCTCTCTCTCTCTCTCTCTCTCTCTCTCTCTCTCTCTCTCTCTCTCTCTCTCTCTCTCTCTCTCTCTCTCTCTCCCTCTCTCTCGTCCAGTCACGAGCGTATAGAACGCGCGAGCGATATTTCACATCGTTTATTTAGTCAGATTTAAAGAGAAAAATGAATTCTGTACCTTTATGATATTACTCGTTTTCTCTGACAGACATGATTTCCTTTCATTTCATGCAAAATGTCTCGTTCTTCTTTGATGATACGTATTGTACGACAACGACGTCGCGCAGAGAGACGCAATTGTCGTAAAGGGACAATTAGCATGATGGGCAAAGCGAGCGTGAGGCAACTCAAAGCCAGCCCTCGAGATGCAAAGAAATAAACAGTTACCAACTGCGATCCGTTTACGCTGGTGACTGATGATAGAACGAGATGCGTGACAAGGCGCGCATCGTATTAGATTCGTATTCGTATTCATATCGAACTCGGTCAATATCGTTGAAGCGAATGATAACGAATATCCCGATTATTCCTTACATGCCGATACGGCCGGTGTGTTGTCAAAAGAAAAATACATATTACTATATTTTCATCTATGTTGTTGCGGATATTTCGCTGATTGAAGATATAACTTCTTTCACCAGATAGATACGTCAAGTTAATTTGAGATTGGTTTGTTTACGATTAAATATAAAGATCGAGAGCAAAGATTTCCGACGAATTAAACCTCAAAAGAGGAAGTAAATTACAAAATCGTATTCTTCGGTTAATCTCGCGAGCGGACTCGGACAGAATTTTCATTTGTGATCGTGATTTAATTATAAAAATCATACACACACACATACATCTTCGTACGTATACATGTATAAATGTGTTAAGCATATATATGTTAAAAACACTGCACAACTGCGATAAGTGATAATCTCCCACGACGTTTTCATTAAACAAAAATTATTCTGAATATAAAATTAGAGATATTTAAAAGAGACATACGCAATTGCCTTACCGCAAACGCTTCACAGTGACAGGATACCATAATCTCATTTCAACCTCATTTCAACCACAAAAGAATCATGCAATCGAGTGACGCGACATTATTCATTTGATATTATTTTCTTGATTAAAAACGGCTAATTACGTTCCAAATAAAGTTATAAACTTACAATTAAAAAAAAAAAAAAAGAGTAAAAAAAGTGAATGATACGCACCAATGCAACGATTAGCAAACCGCGAGATCAAAAGTCGCGTAATTGCGAGAGGATCATTAACATTTTGACAGCATGCTGTCAAACAATAAGCAAGATATGAAGGATGCCCCGAGACATCCTAAAGTCGCCGCAGCGACTTGAACACTCACGCAGCGACTTGAACACTCACGCAGCGACTTGAACACTCACGCATGTCTCTGTTAATGACAGCATTTAGACTGTGCTCCATACACGATTTTTATCTTATCGCAATATCCATACCGACGACTAAGCGCGATTTTTGATTCGATTCGAGGAAAAATCACAGATCGACTTGAAGTCCGCAATAGCAGTTTAAAAACATATCCGTGTCATCCGTATCCATGTATGCATTTATACTCATATATCAGAGCGTACACACGAGTATGTATATATATATATTTAGTCGGTATCGGAGTAATCACGAACCTTTTCGTTTGGCAGGTAACCGCTACAAATTTAACCGCTACGTAAAAATCTACGCGTTAAGAAGGATACTCGAAACAAATTAAAATATGCGAACTATACATACGCACACAGATACACACACACATACACGCACACTTGTATCCATTTTAACACATTCGGAGTAAAATCGAAACATTCTATCAAGATTTTCACAACTAGCTTACCATTACGCACAATGTTGAGCTATGTATTGAAACAAGTTTGTAGAGGTTACCTATGAAACGAGAAGCGTCTCGACCCCATTCCAACGCCGATTACACGCGCACATATGGCGAACGATCTTTTTCGATTCGCGTGCCGTCGAACCGCTTCTTCGTTCTCACCTTGGCCGTGATACGGTTCGTCTCTCTTCAATGCTCATGTAGATGCGTGCTCGGATCAAGAAACGATTGTCGTTACGGCGCGCGGGACGTCGAATGGTTCCCGTATCACCGTTCCCGCACGAACTCGACATACAGCTCGACTGCGAGACTCGCGTTAACGCGCTTTATTTACCAGCAGCTACATCCATTCGGAGGAGAGAGCGTCGAGCGAAACGCGTCAGTGCGCGTCTCCTCGACTCACGCCGAACTTTGTTGTCGTTCCCGCGCTCTACTGATTCTGAATCCATCCATCGATCCTCTATCGTGCGTGTTTCGAGCGGCATGCAGCGCCATCGTACGGTGCGTCGCGGAGTTGCTACGCGCTATCTCAATATCGCGAACGACGCTATGAATCTCATCGATCGAAATAGCGAATTCGACGCAAAATTGCGCAACTAATGCGAACAAAAAGCAAAATCTCACTGAAATATGAAGACGCGATGTGACTCCTGGCTCTCGAAGTGTCCGTTTCTTCGAATAGAAGCGAATACGTTTTCTTTGGCTCGTCTCCTATGTCCTCGACGCGACACTATGGCACTGGTACAAGTAGTAAAAATCTTGTTTAATTGCGCTCACATCTACCGACTAATGCACTAAAACAATCGTCTGTCGCTTAATCGACATTTCTGACACAAATTTATACGCGAAATTCGCTTTTGACCGATGAAACGGTGTGACGAATACGGAGCGACCACTGTGCGCGCGTTCGAACTTGCGAGAACGTTAACGAAAGTGACACCACGTGACGTCACTACTGCTAAAGTTTTTGAATGATTATCAAAGCAATGATTAGCAGTAATCAAAGTACATGATAAATCGGACGTTCTTTGATAATTTTGTTATTATTTTTATATGAAGATTAGAATATTTTATGTAATCTATTTTGTTTGGTTTTAGGGAATAAACGTATTATATTGTCCGATCGGAAGTGATGCACGCGCAGTGTTGGGTCAATTGTTCCAACTTCGTGGTAAGTTAACTGATGGTTAAATCATATCTCTGTTTTTGTCTAAGTTGAAGGAAAAAAGAAGACAAACATATGATTTAACTATCAGTTAACTTACTAAGAAGTTGGAACAACCGGCCCATAGTGTCACCGAACCTCCTACGCATGCTACCACAACTATTGGGTTGGTAACTAAGTGATTGCGGATTTTGTCGACAGATGGATTTTACACTTTCTTTTGTTTCGTTAACGTGTTCAAAGTATCTAACCTATATTTTTTTCTTATTGTTTGGACTTCTACCTTTCATTTAGTACAAAAATTATATCGATTAGTTCTTTAGTTTTGTTTTTATCCCAATTAAAAAATGGAGCAGCAAGACGTGCACTTCAGACATATTTTATTGTATTATTCCCGAAAAGGCAAGAACGCATCGCAAGCACACAAGAAGTTATGTGCCGTATATGGGAATGAAGCCTTGAAAGAAAGGCAGTGTCAAAATTGGTTTGCCAGATTTCGTTCTCGTGATTTTTCACTGAAAAATGCTCAACGATCTGGCCGTCCAGTTGAAGTCGATGAGACCCATATCAAGGCCATTATCGATTCAGATCGTCATAGCACAACACGTGATATTGCAGAGAAGCTCAATATCGCATACATGCATTGAAAAAAATTTAAAAAAGCAAATTTAAAATTTTGAATTTTCATTCTTATTTAAAATCCGCAATCACTTAGTTGCCAACCCAACACATCACACACGTCACAAATTTTGATAGACACGGCCTGCGTTCCGAAATTCACTGCCAGTACTGAAAATATATAATTTGTCTCACGTATATTATAGAATTTTACTGCCAGCACTGAAAAATATATGTGACACAAATTATGTATTTTCAGTACTGGCAGTGAATTTCGGAACACACACCCTTGTACTCGGTTATGCACAATAGGGTCTTCTTGGGACGAAACCAATGTAGCAATATAGGATTATGGCTGCGTTCCAATATTCACTGCCAGTACTGAAGATACGTCATTTATGACATATATACTATATATTTTCAGTGCTAGCAATGAATACCGGAACGCAGCCTATACAGAAAAAGAAATGGAAAAAGATATAGTTCGGGCTCCACAAGAACTTCCAATATTGCATTTAGGTACGAGTATGATAAGCAGGGTACCCTATCATAGAACTCTCGTCGGAATCGATTCCGATCGGAATAATTCCGTTTCCCCTAGAAAAGACAATAGAAATCTAGGAAATAACGGAATAAATTCGATCGGAATCGATTCCGACGAGTTCCATAATAGGTACTCAGTTATACGCGTGACGTAAATTGACGCATACGCGGGAGGTGGGACTAAATGCCCTCAACACTATGCGCGCGCATAGCGCATTCATTTTCGGATGCCACTTAAGCATTTTGAAAATCACTGCTACACTCCCTATTCTCCTTCTTCTCAGTTTTGGTTCGTTGAAAATTGTTTCAAGTATACACCTTCAAAAATATTTATACGATTACATAAAAAACAGATACATTACGACGTTATTTAACAATAAGTTTATTTTCATTAATCATCGATAAAAGCTTCATGTATAAAACGCATCTGTACATTCGTAATATCATTGAAGATTACCGTTCAGTCTCCGAATACGAGTCGCGTACGAGTTCTTACGCGATTAAAATTAAAAATTCCATTCCTTTATTTTATTACATGTTCACACGCGGAAATATAGCAGTCTGCCGTCATTTATTTTAATGAAAAAAAGAAAAAAAATAGACATAACTGAGATTACTAGCTCTACCTCGATTTTTGCACAATTAAATCAATTCACATAAATTTACATATTATGTTTTTCCTTTTTTATAAAATGAATTTAGATTTCTTTTTCTAGAAAAACACGATAATATGTCGATCAATAAATTTATCTCTCCTAGCATGATAAATTCACCAGCAACCCTTGAATCACTTTTTGTAATGTGATACCGTTTAAAATCTTTCGACATTTAATATCATATAAGCATTGAACTTTTAAATAGAAAAGAATATCCGATGAGAGTTAGTTGCGCATTTTTAGTACTTCAAAACTCAGTTGCATCACTAATGTGTATTAAGTAAATTCATTTCAGCGAGTCACTGTCCTTTTTATATTACTTTATACAGATACGAAAAGAAATGTACCGAAGACCAAAATTAGTTAAGTTGAAAGTGAAATCGTTTTCAGAAACATTCAAAATATGTATAATTCCTTTTGTAAGATGCACATTCACTACTCGAATAATCACGACTTCGCAGAAATAATTTCTATTAGTGAATACAGGTGAATGCACCATAGCATGCACGGGTGCACGGATGCGCATTAAGAGACCATTTTACACAAATCCGTTAAAATTTCTAAACCGCTGAAGCACGGCATAAATGTAGTGACTTGCGCCGAGTATTTCCGACATCAGTCAGACACTCATACATTATGCACATGGTTTTATATGTGTACAATCTTTAATATCCATCCAACCGTATTACTACGGTATGTAGTTACAGATAGTAATGATCGTAAGAAAAATAGATTTCAGTAATTTGCACGATTGTACTATAATTATCATTAATCTCTCGCAATATTTGCTTGAATAGGAAATTATAAATTAGCAGGATACGCTCCTTGGTGGTAATGAAATATTTAGTTTTTACCATTACTATTCTAAGTGAAATTTTCATGTCATTTAAGTCAATGAGATTGCGAAAATATCAATATAAAAATTAACTAATAAAATATTTTACAAAATGAGATTAATAATGAGATATCTCGATTGTTTTTCGCCTTTTTGAGGTAAGATCAATGTGTAATGAAATATTTTATATGTTTCCACACATACACACACATATATATATATATATATGTATATATATATATATCAAGATTCTCATATATATATATGTATATGTGTATATATATATATATATATATATATAAAGATTCTCATATATATATATATATGAGAATCTTGATTTGATATAATAATCGAAATAAATACTGCCTCGGCACACAGAGAGAGAGAGAGAGAGAGAGTTACAAAATTCATGTCAATGCTTAAAATTTAAGAGAAGCAAGTTTTACATATTCAAATGTAACGAATTTAAAGTTTCTTAGGAAGTTGTTGCGGTACAGATTTCATTCTAATACGTGTAAACTAGAATCTATTTTTCTTACACATGATCGACTAAAATTTCCCATTTACGTCAATAATATATAAACAGTAGCAGTAATCGTATACTCTACGTATTTATCTATCTCGTGACGGGTCGCCATAAAAATGATATATATCTATGTCGTACAATATAATTCATATGGCTGGATCCTGCAGGAAGAGCCATTGCAAGACTATGATATCGCAATAGCTTTACCTGCGAAACTAGAGTAATCGCTTCAGTCGTAACAAACTAAAATGGCCTTCTTTAAGTCAGCATCAGCAAAAAGACAAAGCTTTGATATCATGATTTCTTTCTCAAGGGAAAGATTCTACCTGAGTGATGTCACCTCGGTGCAGTGAACTGATCTTTGGCTTAAGATTCCCTTATTGTAGGCTTTAGCTAATGCAAAGTGCAAATGAAAATTCAAACGCAATGGTATTGCGTACGTCGCGCGACACTTTTTATACTTGTAAAAGTCCTAAATTTCGTGTAAATGTTATTGGAGCGTGTCTCGTGTACAACGCTTAAAATGAGTCATCCATAGCTAGGTTGGCCGTTGATGAATTTCTGCTGTCGGGAGATTGCATCGCGACATAACGTCTTCGTAAGATTTCTTGCAAATCATTGCATGGGCTATTTTCACGCTTCACTCGTATAGGATGTCCACCTGGGGATCTATAAGAAGAGAATCAATATGATACAGCTTCGCTTTACTCAATTGATACAGTATCCTCTCGTGATGATAGACTACCTTGCAATTGGCCTTAATTTTACATTGTCAATATCACTCAGCATATTGCCCATTGATTTCTGTACATTTATTGTAGTCTTTCTGCGATCTTCAATTTTATGATCTTGCAAGCTAGCCCTTCTTGCAATATGCGGTGTTGTTGGTGGTGGTGGAAGTGGGGGTGGCAGAGGTGGTGGTACTGGCAAGGATTCACCATCATCTGCTCCATTGGGCAGAGATACAATAGACGCATCTACAATATAAACACATCTCTATAAATTCTCTTAATTATCCCCAGGTGTGACAGGATATATATCTCTTGTACATACGTTTGGACATTTTGTTGTTTTTTACAATAGTTGAGATTTGTTCCCTAAGTTCTTGCAACTCTTGCTCTAGAGCAAGCAATCGTACTTCAGATCCAAAACTAATTGGTTCTAATAGATCTGGTCTGCTGCCAGAAAGCCTGTTACAAAACTCAATTATAAAAAATGATATCATAAAATTTTGAGACCTATATTCAAAATAACAGAATTTATTATTATTTGACAAGACAAACTACTGACCTTACAGGACCATATCCATTAGTATTTGTATAATTGTTACTAGTATCCTCATTGATCATTGAACTTGTCATGGAGTGTAAAGGTGTTACGCTGACATATATTTTTGGTGGTGGCTTCAGTGGTAGAAAGGAACCGATCCTCCTCACGATACTTCTTCTTTTCCCATAGTACTTGATATCACCCATCTGAGCAGAAAACAATTTGTTCTATCTAACTAATATTGTATGTGATAGATTGATACAATAATACAATGGTTTAGAGAATTATATGTTATAGTAAAACCAGTTGAAACAAAATGAGTATGATCAAGATTTAGAATATGGTTGAGCATATTAAAACAAATACAGACAGAATCCTTGTATATGCAGTGATAACAAATATCTATTTTTAAATTGTATTATTACAAATGAATAAAATATTTAGCAGCCTAACTATGTACAATACATATTGTTATCTTCAAGCTTTTTAAACATCTGTGTCACTGCAAAATGTTAGTTCTCCATAGAATTTAATGTACATGTGTCAAGGTACGCGCAAAATAGACAACATAGAGGAATTGTCAAAAATCTTAACAAATAGTACGTTGTTGCATCACTAATTGATCAGTAACACATGGCAGATATACCAATTACCGTTTCATCGTACATTGGAGACAAATGGAATCCCTTACCTTCGCCACAATCAATTGCCACTATCCCGTAGATTCTGATCTATGTCGTAGGAATACCAGTGTAAGCTCGTAGTGCGTCTAAAATATTCGATAGCATCAGGTACATCAGGGTCATCCGAAATTCGAAATTAAAATAGCTCCGTTACATTGACGCAATGCCAATGACGACTAAAGACAGGTTGTCGTAAGTCCGAAGCGTGAGCTTATCGAGACACGTATATTCGAGCCTTGAACACGCGATTGCACGTTTGAGTGCTTTTATGACACGTTCCGATTTTGTGTACAATTTCTTCTGTCCAGACGTAACGATTTGCATATATCACTTTCGTTTATTTGTTACGTATATCGCTCGTTTCACCGTACAGAAACGAGGTTATAGAAAAGTGCAACCGACGTACTACTATTGTACTGACTACAGAGGGTGTCCCAGATCAAGTCGCTTCGTTGTTTCGATTGTAAATTCTTCAATTACTTTTGAATTGAATTTTTCTTCACAAAAATATAAAATGAGATATTACGTTTAATGAGAGAACAATGAACAAAGATTTGAACAAATGATATGATAGAAATTAATTCAACTTATAATACGCATATTGGAAATATATATACTGTTCTAGTACACTCTGTACATTTTGCTTCCTCTCTGCTACATTGTTGCTTTATATTCATACATCGTCAGATTATGTCAAGACTATGCCTATGGAATACCAATAAATTAAATTTCGCAATAAACATCCGAAAAATTTTAAGGCAATAATGTATATTAGATATAAATGCATTGATTTGTTATTTTATTGTACATTATTTTTTATATTTGATCAGTTGATATCAGTAATAAAAATTTGACTTAGAAAATGAACATATTTTTATATATATATATAGTATTTAGTAATTGAATTATAATCATGTTTATAATCTTTTAATTTCTTTTTTATTTCAACATGTACCTTAAAAAAAAAAAAAAGAAAAAGAAACAACCACTTACACATAGTGGTATATTAGGCAATATTCATATATACAATTAGACAACTTACAGAAAGGTATAATCATTTTAATGTACAATGTATCCGATAATATTCAGTTTGGCATCCATCAGCAAATTGTTAATCGACATCAAACAGCAGACTCGTTAGATACACATTATAGCGCTTCTATTTACAATTAATATATATAATATAGCATATAACATATACAGATGTTTATAACTGAAATGTGATATTAAAATCAATGTAGCTGTAAATATTTGGACACATTGTGTGCACATTATCTGACATTAATATTAAAGAACAAGTTCTTACACTATTACAAGAGAGATTAATGCTGTATTTCATAGAATGTATTCATGTATAACTGGTGTACAAGATCTCCCAAGTAAAAAAAATATAAAGCAGAAAGTTATCAAAAGGCCAAACTTATCCTTGATTATCTTTGCAACGCTATAATAAAGTTGACTTTATATAACACAGTATTTCTCTCTCTTTTCTTTCTCTCTCTCTCTCTCTTTCTTTCTTATACATTATATACACTGACATATCTCTCTATGTACACGTTTATGTACATTTAAGGCGTATATCTTAACCTACGGATCACAACTAAAATAATTTTCCGAATTGTTACATTATTTTATATTTAACGTATCATATTATCGTTCAATATCACTTTTAATGTGAATTTGAATATTGTTTAATATAAAATTGAAAATCAGCGGTTCGTTTCAAACATAACATATAATTCGGCATAAATTAGAATTATTTATCTAATAATATATGAAACGTTACGCAGAGTTGGCGGGATAAAGTTTCGTAAATTAATCTTTAATATCAAGAGAAAAAAATGAACATGCCTAGCCCTTCACAGTAGATTAAGAATTGCTTTGAACATGTCTACTTGTACACTAAATGTTATTTTAAACAGTAATGCAAGATAAACATATATTATCGTTAATAATGGCACATCTTTGGAGTAAAATGGTACAAAATGTCAAAAGAAGAATAATAACAATGTATCTATTCCGAGTTGTGATGTTACCAGTTTGTATATCACTAAATATTAGTGCTTATGCTCTTTTCATAGATTTACAGTCATATAATACAATTATGTTACATAGAAGTTATAGAATAGACTCATCGCGAAACATATATAAATTTGTTTCTGTGGAAGAAATAATATACCGTTACCATACGCTTTAACATATAGATCATGCTACAATATACGAAATGTACATCTGTGTTTTAGCGCCCTGTTCAGAATATATCTTCACAACCACTTTAACACACATGTGTTGTACAGGCTATGTTCATGTACTTATTTATACATTTTATAGTAACATCACCGTTTTTTCCCTGGAATAATAAATCGAAATAGATTTTTTCGTAAGCACCAGTTTAGAATCCAGGAAATCCCTCTATACAGTTACAACATATAAGTATCGTTACAATCTGACGACCTTAATTTTTTTTTAATCCACTTTAAATTATTGACAATTCATGACAATAGTCGAAGGAGAAAATAGTTTCTTAGTATAATTTACAAAACATTATTAAGCTCTATAAATGTATATGTATGTACACACATATTTTCAAATCTAACTCTGATGTTTCGTGCATTGTGCCGTAAATGTAATACTGAACTCTGTATTTAAACTCTGTCACGAATTGTACATATTTTAAAGTGAGCTTAACCAAATAACTGGAGCATTTCGCTAGAATATCTTGTATTTATAAAAGTCATTAAAGTTCACTGCACACACATCTGGATCACAGTGCAAAAATATCAGTTGCAGTGCAGATAGCCTTATGGCCGTTGGAAATCGATATTCTGTTTTTGCATAATAATTATAATTTGACCTAAATTTCAAAAGCTATTGTTATAATTCATCGTCGATATGTTTGGCTGTATGGGTTTTTGGTTTAGCTTCTTTATCTTTGTCTATATTTATATATTTTTTCTCATATTTTAATTCACTTGATTCTACGGCACTATGTTGCGGCTCTGAAACTTGTGAGTCTTTACGAAATTCTGTAAAGTCTTTCTCCTCATTGACAGCCCATATAGGTCTTTTAAATTCTTTTAACAAATCAGTAGGTACGATTTCACTTTCAACTACATTTTTCTGCTTAGACAATTTCGCCTTTGAATCAGTTTTCTGTTTGTGCTGCGTGTCACTGATATCTTTTCGAATTTCTTGCAATAACACGTTTTCTTCATCGGTAGAGGTTATTCCTATATTAGAGGCTTTCATATTTACTGTAGAGTCTGCGAACTTTTCCTTCTGCCCGTCTTTAACAACTGTTTCCTCGATTTTTACATTTGCTGATTTTGTTGTTCGCAAAAAGTCTATTTCTTCCTTGAGAGAATTTCGGGCTCTACTCTTCCTATCTTCTCCTTTACTTTGATTCAGAGGGGAGTGCAAAGTAATTTCACTCTTACCAGAATTTTTATCTTTTTTACCTTCTGTCACCGCGTTCTTCGTTACATCGCTCGTACCTTCATATTTGTGTAGAATATTTTGCGCGGAATGTTTAATTGCTTTCCCTATTTCTGTCAGTATAAAATATTCGAAATCCTCCAGTTTTTCGATATCCAATTCTCTGCCTTTCTTTAGGATCCTCATATTTTGATCCAAAACCTTGATATTTCTACCTTTAAGTTCCGATTTGCCACTACTACAGTCGCTTATAAATTCCGCAACCGCTAAATCATCCTCTCTGGTTTTCCCGAGTAAATTTTCCCCTTTATCCACGTTTTTCAAGTTCTTTTGTAGATCAGCAATCAGTATGTCGTAATATGAACTGTCTTCTTCTCCCGTTTTCTCCAGATGCTTTTGCACTCCGTCAATTAATATTTCTTGATATGTAATATGTACCTCTGCATGAATGTGATCTAAAAAGGCGATGTGTTGGCTAACGATCTCATCTTCTTCGTCAAATAGATCCGCTAGCAAGTGACGTAAGAATGAGTAATTTTCCACCTGTGCGATGCCGGATTCCGAAAGTTTGAGCAACTGTTCCATATCAGGTTTTACCGATTTCATGTTTTTCAATTTCGTAGCCACAGTCTTTAAATTTAGCACCATGGTGTCCATGTTTGTAAGCAGATATTGTTTCAACAGTTTCTGTTTCGTCAGTTCTAGTAATTGTCCCATCTTCCTAATAGACGAATTAGGCGCGACCACTAGCAATTCGCTCAAGAACCAGCGAACTTTGTACGACAGCGACGTTTTAGTCAGCACACCTCGTGCCTTGTTCACCCAGTTGTAGTAGCTTTCCAAAATGAAACTCCTAATTCGTATACCCTTATTTTGCTTACTATTCAGGAATATCTGATTGACAAACACTTCCTTTAACTGATGCCACAAGATTTCTACCGGGGTAGAAACTGGCCTTAAGATAATAATTGCATCCTCGGACGGTGCGGTAATTCTTACTTCACCACCAAGTGAATCTTTGATGATTTCCGCGTGAAAGTAATGAAAGTCAATAGTATCCTCTTGATATTCTTGCGATTCCACCACAGGAATCGTAATATCCATATTAGATCCTGTGGTTGTCGCCTATAAACACACAGAATTTCAATGTTTCTCACAAGTTTCTTACAAAATAGGCGATAATTTTCGCGAATGTAAATTCAGAAACCAACAGACCTGTGGCGTCAGATGTCGGCTAAGAAATGATCTTAATGATCCTTTCACACGTTCGAACAGCGACAAATCCGTAGGTGCTTTAAGCTGGACTTCTTCTTTCGAAGAATATATTCCTACAATTGACAAAAGCGTAATAAAATTAACGTTATTATTTTATGTGTTTTATATATATATCATTATATGATCTACTTATTGTCCTTATTACCAAGTGTGACAGTAAGATCGCCATTCGCTGTGTTAATGGCCTTCATTAACTCTGCCGCTTCCGTGAAAAATAGAAACACGACGGGTATTGTGACGTCATCCACATCTTTCCCATCACCGGACATTGCAAACATGGGCGATGTTGCTGCACTCGAGCCAGCAACATTATCCAAAACTATCCCAGCAAGCGCACCAGCTTGTTGAATTCTTCGCGCCTAAGATTATATACAGAAAGTAGAGTTAACAAAATATAAAAAATCAGTTTAAAAGATGAAATTTTCTGTGAAAAGCAAGCATACCTTTTCTATAAACATGCAATTCCCACGATCCATGATTACTATCTTTCCTGCTAGTTTGTCCGCGTTGAGCAGCTCGGTGCAAGCTGCGGGCGGATACGTGAATATCACTTTTCCAGTAATCTTATCGAAGCTCTGCAGTTCAGGGCCAAATTGTGCCGGTCCAGCTAGTAGTGTAACTTTCTCCGGCGGGTCCGTTTTAGGTTTCACAAACGTCACTGTTTGCGGCTTAGTTTCTGGCTGTTGTGTTTGCATTTTACTCAGTTCGACCATTTCCTGCATGAACAGTAATCCTTCCTCCGAATCTTGCGGTGTTTTTGCCTATTAAAAAAAAAAAAAAAAAGAAAAAAAGGAAAAGAAAAAACGATGTGCGGTGACTTATTGCAGAACGAAATAACAATAAAATAATAGAGGCAAATTTTATATGATGCAAATTTCATATAACAAATTAGTTACATTAGAAAACGTGTGCAAAAGTTGAACCCGCCCATCTGCTAGTGTTAAAGTCGTTATTCCCATATCACTCAACATTTTCAGGTGTTCCAGGTTATTGGCCTACGGAAAAAAATTACTTTCTTAAGTATCAATTATTTTATTAAGACAAACGCGTGAATATCTTTGAAATATACCTGAAATTGCGACGCGCTTAATCTTCGTTTGAGCGACCGCCTTGGGCAAACATCCTCGACCATATTTCTCAGAGGTTGTCTCACCGATGCGGGAAACAAATGCAAACTATTTGGACAAGTACGGTCGAATTCGTCCACGTGTACGATATCGCGTTCGAAATCCTGCTTAATTGAAACGTCAAATATTCAATTCGGCAATGATTTTGATGTCACATCCATGTATCATGCTGATACACTTACAGATGAGATATTTGTCCGTATGGAAGCAAGTGTGAGTGGCAGTAAATGACCCTCGGTGGTAAAGATGAATTCATCCAAATCTAAAAAGAGTTCTCCTGGCTCCGTAAATAATAGAAATAAGTACTTGAAAGTCTCAGATAATACAAAACTATCCATTGTATCATCGTGCTTGTTAGTTCTAACATCTGATACGGCTGCGTAACCGCACGGCACTCTCGCATACGTTTGCAGACTCTTGAGTACTTTACGGCCGACTCCTAAGTAATAATGATCGCCTGTAGCACGGTATAGAAAATAGGTCGATTCTAAGAATTCTGGTCTTAATGGATGATGTCCCCAATGAACCTATTTGAAATAAATATATATATATATATATACATATATATTACAAAGATACATATAAATTGAATGGAGGGGAGGAAAAAACACATTTCATACATACCCTTATACATTATATAGAGTCCGGTCATAATGTTTAAATAATGTACCTGAAAATCGGTGGTAAACGCTTCTGGTATAAAGTTGTGTCTTTGCATAACTTGATACAGCATCTCGTGTGTTTCTACGGCAGGTTTGATGTCACCTTTAAGAACCTGAAGGAAATAACGTTAGATGAGCGATTTCTCCGTTATTAATTAAGAGTTACTAATATACCTGCAGACCTGGCCAAAAGGCCAATAAAGCGTCCATGAAATTTTTAGAGTTGGTGTTTGGTCTATGCATGTGCACATCCAATAACATAGGTCCTTGACTAACGTACTTCATTACAGCTTGGTAGTGTTTGTTGAAACGTCCTAGGTATTTTTCATCGCCTGCAAACCAAACCCGAGATATAACCCGAGATTATAGACGTTTTCTTGATAATATATATAAAAATAGTAAAAAATGACTGTATATATATATATATATATACAGAGATATAGATCATTACCGAGTAGGATATACGCCTTGAGACAATATTCGTAGTAAGAATCTATACCAGCACCGACCCCGGAATCTCTTCGTACCCAATCTCCAGAGTTTACATTCAGTACAGATCCCATCAGATCTGTACCGCGGTGCCTCATTCGCCATAGGACGTCCATAGCTTTCTGTGCTTTCTCCTAGAGAGATAATTGAACTATTTTAGTACTAATTACTTTAATTAGCCTAGAGTACATATACTGCGTTTAGCAGTTTCGTATCCGTAGAATAGTTTACCTCGAAAATCGATTCTCCCGTTAACCGCGATAAAGCAGCCATTTCTAATATCATGCTACCTGCACAGGCAGTACAAGTCTCTCTTGATACTTCCATAGGAACTCCTCTCATACCATGTTTTAGATTGATCTGTGGAATATGTAAATGTTTCTATAATTGGTAAAATGTTAAGGAATCTGTAGTATTTATTATCTGTCATAACATATGTTAATGTACAAACCAAGAACACTGTATATGTTAATGTTTAAACTAATAACATCGTGCATTATAGATAATCACCCTGCCGTAAGGTATTCCAGTAGTTGTATTAAATGCTGGTAAAAATCGGTATCCTAAATCTTTAGCTAAATCTAGAAGCTCTCCTCTATACCATGGCATTATGTCAGCTCGCTGTTGCAGGTATTCAGCTAATATATGACCACTAAGAAGACCTCTGTTGATAATAATATGTGATGAACATAAAATATATGATTACAAAAATGCTCATAAATATATCTTACACACGCATATAACTTTTGTCTTAATTAGCACAATTTTACTCACCCCAGCATCCTAATATTTGTTTCAAACAAAGAAACAATAACATCTGTATCAAAGCTTACATCTCTAGCAACAAGTTTGACTGCATTTTCAAATTCTTCCAAATCTCCCAATACCTGTAATGTATAAAAATATTCACATTTGGTTCTTTTAGAATACTTGCAGTATATTAAATGATTATTTTTTATCAAACTTACCACTAATGTATCTAGGGTATCCACCAAAGTAAGTGAAAAACTATAAAATTACAGCATATAAATATTTATTAAAGAATGGATTATAATCAAAATAAAAGTATAAAAGATAGGACATAGGAATTCTCCTGTATAATTTGATTACTCTTTCTTACTTTCCCAGTGTAGAATCTATATCACCCCTATTTGGCTCTGATCCTCTATATCGTCCTTTGCAGCTTAATGGCATCAATTCATCGGCAGGATACGCATTATCCTTAAAAAGGACCATAAAAATTATCATTTCTATATTGAATAATATTAATAACACAATTACAAAATAAGTATATAGTGTTTATTTCTTACCATATATGCGTTGTATGCATGATAAAACATATCCCTTGCTTCTTCCCTGTAACATAGAATAGAGCAGGCGTAAAAAATTGTATTACCAATTGGTATAGGTGATACTTTGCATAATAGACGGTACAAACTTTAAAGCTTCTCTCTCCTCCTTGTTCATATATTCTAAGGGGTCGTCTTCGGACATAGCCCATAATGCCTGTATGCTACATCCCAAGAACAGCAACCCCCAAATAAGAGTGTCGCAAGCCATTGTTTGCTAAAAAAAATAAATCCCCTTTTTGTCAAGATCTCACTTTGGTAATAGTACACATGGTCCACCGCAATTCTCCTCAAATCAATTCATCTCATGCCAACAATCTTCATTATCATAAAAAAAAAAAAAAAAGTACAATTCGGAGCGGTTTCGAAGACACACGCTACGGAGTTCTCTCTACATCAGATTTTTCTACTTCCTCCTTCTCTCCCTACGCGCGAAATATATCACTGTTTTTTTTAAATCGATGACACACATCACACGAAAAACAAATGCGTTCTATGTCTCACACACACGATCACGATCTTATCGCTACAGCCAGGTGGCAAGACGTGTTCGCTGTGCGATCGTAAGGACGAATCATAATTCTCAGCAAATCGCGGTCGTAAACGGTATTTCACAGATCGGCAGATCCTTCCGCGAGCTCGTTCTCTCCCTGTCTCTCGCGTCGTATCCGAGATGAATTTCGGCGACGCGTCAAGAGTGGTTAGAATCCAAGTAGTGAACGGTAAGGATCGCGCGCGCGATCCAAGGGAGTACCGTTCTCGTCGTCGGCAGAGATAAACAATGGACGGTAGGGACAGCTGATTGCGTATTTTCATCAAGGCCAGATGATGTGGCCACAGTCAGTTCGCCGAGACGGTTTTCCACTTTGTAGAGCGACATACGCGAGTTTCACCATATGTTCCGCGCGCGGTGAACCCGTCCCCGTCCCCGTTCACATTCCCGTTCTCGCCCTCTCTCGTTCCCGACACTCCCGACTTCCGCCTGATTTCGCACCGCCAACGAACGGGCTACCGATAAACTGTCGACGTCAACTGCTTCGCGGCGAACGGCGGCGATCTCTCCGCATCTGACATGATTATCGCCGTTCGGTATTATCTCTGACCAATCTGCCGAGGCGAATGCGACTAGAACGGGAACAGTCACGTGACTGTCAGCCACTTTGCCACGAACCGCGGACCGCGAGATTTTTTTTCGGAAATGTCGCGATTATTTTGTCATTTTTGTCTTTACTAATCGATATTCGGTTCGGCCAAATCGCGCTCGTTATCCAAATCGTAATGCATTTTCGGCACGATGCACGCGTCGGCTAAAAAAAGAGTTCTCAAGCGCAGACGCTTGCTGAAAATAGCGAATAAGTTGAAGCAGAAAACATGTTGATCGTCTATTATCGATATATACGATCGTCCTGTCAATTATCGCGCTTTCATTGACAAATTTCCAAGTGCAAACATCACATAGACAGAAGAGCGTATGCTAAAAATAATTGATTTACAGTCTGACCTGTTTACTCAATTATCAATCTGTCAGACGCGGCATACGATCCGTGATATTTCGCAAACGTTTAAAAACGAACAGAAATGCTCGAACTGAAATGGAATTACCAATCGAATAGACAACTTCCGCCGATCTTCAAAAAGATCATTTTGTACATACACACACATGTACATGTGTATACATCATTATTTTGTTTTAGAAGAATAATATTAAATTTATAGGGAATACGCATTTTCGATGCGCGCAAGAGCAGTACGTATCACGGTGGTGTCGTTAGCGTTGCGTAGTGTCGCGCACGTTTATCCTTCTGTGTTGTGTTGTTGTGTTGAATAAGTAACTTTGCCGTTGTCGATTGTTGATTATTGAGCAACATGAAGCTTCTCACGCACAATATGTTAACGTCTAAATGTCTGAAGGGTGTGACGGTCGGTTATCCTCTGAAAATCATCGTAAGTTATCCTTCGATGCTCTCCAGAAGGGTGAGGTTGAGGTTAATTTTTCTATTGTAACTGAGGATAATGTTCGGTGTTTGAATTGATTGAGATACTTTTTGCTCTTTAGAGGGTAATTCTTAAGAGTTTATAATCGTAACAAGTCGTAATTTAATGATGGTAATTTATTTAGAAAGTAAAGAAGATTAATCTAATTTAGATCAAAGATTTTAGAGAAAGGTTGGCTTGATAGAAAGGTTATGAGCTATAATAATGTGTACAAACGGTCGGCACATGTATTTATCGCTGAATACTATCTTTTTGTTCTGATCAACTATACCTCATACATTATCTCATGGAGTATTATATTCTACTGTAGTACGAAATCAAAACAAAAACAAATAATTAAAAAACATTTACAGGCGAGGGATATCAGGGTATCTGAAGTAGACTTTAATTCAGATTTTATCGCTAGGATAATCCCAAAATTAGACTGGACAGTGCTGTGGAAAGCTGCAGAGAGTGTAAGTCTCAAGGATGTCTTGTAGTTAAAATATGACAAATATAATATGAAGTGATTTCATGATATGTTGTTAAACGTATTGTTACAGATAGGACATGTTGGCGAATTACCTCAAATTTTAATAGAGGATTTTGAGACGAATGAAGACTTTTTGAGAAAAGCTCATCATGTTTTATTGGAGGTTGAAGTTATTAATGGAGATTTATTGTGTCCAGAATCTGGCAGAAAATTTCCTATCAACGATGGAATCCCAAATATGCTTTTACATGAACATGAGGTTTAAATAAAGGATATTAAATAACTTCTAAATATTAATACATCATTATTTCTTTAACTGAGACTGTTACATAGTTAATATGTAACTCCATTATGATTTATGTTAATTTTTTTTTCTTTTTTCATACTAATCGGTGTTTGATAACAACGAAAAAAAGACTACTAGATATGAAATAATTTAGCATAAATGAGTTTATAGAATTTATATTCATATCTGTGTGACAAAAGGCTCAAAATAATTTATAAAATATATTATAAATACTATATATGTGACATTGTTGATATATATTCTTTAATATGTTAGAGTGATTTCATAATACCATGAGCCAATGATATTACAAGTTTCAGCAAGAAGGATTACTATGGTCAAAACTGTTTGTTTATTTAGACAAGCAGTTTGCCTTATTTGTCTGGCCTATATCATGTATAACTTACAGATTGGTAGCTCTTAATATAGGTGACTTAATTAAGTTAAATTGTTGCATTTGTAATATGATTATAGATATTTTATTGCACAGATATGTCTAGAGACAATGGGATACAACTTCTCTTGTATCGTTTGCAATACTTAACATACAACATTTTTTATTTACATCACGTTTATATTGCTACTTAGATAATTCGCCAGGGTATCATTTACTCCATTATCCGAGTGCGACGTTCTAAGAATGTAACATTTTGATACGATTGTTTTTCATCAGCTATAAAGCATAGCAAATCATTGTAGCAATATTACAGTGAAATACATTAAATTATAAGTAGAATAGATATATGTTTTCTTTGGATAATAGATGATACTGATTAATATATGAAAAATATGCTTATTGACAAAATATTTACGCATGTATGTAAGACAATTGCCTTGGAACCACTGGTTTAAATTTTAATTATGAAGCAGCCGGAGTTACTTGTATCTCCGCGTGTAAAGGATTACAATAACTTATTAATGCGAGACGACATTCCGTTGAGATTGATTTCTTAAAATAGATATGTAATAGCACAAAATGACATCTATTGCGCAAAACCCTTTATAACACTTAATTCTTTATCTAATACACAGTAATAAAATAAATATTAAATTTTGTCTTTGCTTTGCAAATAAAACGTTTCCTATAAGACATTGAATAGACGAATATGAATTGAGATATTAAAAATATAACTACCGTTATTCGTTTTGACACACATTTTAAATGTAGAAGTCTAACATTGGTAAATAATGCTTTCTCTAATACATGTAAACAGATAGATTCGAGAAGATGTTTTTAATTGAAAATGACTAATATTAGAGAAGGACGTGTGTATTCTACTTGTATATATTAGTTTTCTGTACCAATGGCAATGTTCAAAATATAGTCAAAATATATTACTTTATTCCTTGTAATTTCTTCAAGAGTCAAAAAGCTATAAAAATAGCTCTCAACTAACATTTCAGCCACAGCCCATCTGTTATTAACGTTTTAATTGTATCTTAAGTATTCGTAAAAGGCTGGATTATTCTTGAATCAAGCTATGAAAATATTTCTGTACATTAATTTGACTATAGCATATATAAATATTAATTTTCACATTATAGTTTACTATTAGAAACCTTATTTTGGTTACGGCCCATTCTGCATACTAATGGAGATTTTGCTGCATTAGAGATATGCAAGTTTCCTACTATAATACTTTGCTTTACCTGTTTTACAATGCAAGCTCATAAAACATATCTCTAAATATACGTCCATCTATTGGAATTTCTTTTATACCTATGTTTCATTAAAATATATTCTAATACTGTATGTATATTGGCTTCAGATTTCAGATAAAATCTTTACTTTGAATATGACTACTATATAGTCAAAAAAGGAAGTCCATTTCGTAGTATTTTTCAGGAATTTATCAATATTAAAATGTATGTTAAAGCTATCATGATATATGAGATTATCATTCAACGAAACATTATTTTTCTTTAACTTTAACATCTTATTAGCAACAAAGTTTTATATTACAAAATTGATAAAACGTTATTGAACGGAAGAATACATCAATTTTATTAACAATTTTGTGTATTTTAATACTGATAAATTCCTCGGAACAGTACATAATTACTTATTCGATAAAATCAACGTATATTATGCGTATTTAAAGAAATATTAATACTGCAGAGTACTTTCATTACACTAACGAGCACATGTAAAATTATTACCAATTACTAGGACTTGTAAGTTAATGATCCCCGAAATCGTTTCAAAGTATTATCGATGGTCAGAAGTGGCCGCACAGATATACTTGAAAACGCTTCCGGGAAAACGCGAGACTTTCTGGTCCTATCAATTATCGATGAACAATACGCCAAAGTCTTTATTAAACTTATCTATAACTAACCATATCTATGGAAAAGTTAAAAAAAGACTTTGTTACATACTATTTAGACAATTTAACCACATATATAATTACAGAATCAAATTATTAAAGTTTCCTCAATATATAATACTCAAATATGTTTTAAGAAAACTTCGACGTATTTTATGGACACAACATTAGACTCAATAAGATATGTCAAAAGTGAAAATGCTGTGTAATTTATGCAGTAAGTATTTTATGTCATTAGTGTATCAGAATATAGAATTCTGCGAGATATACAGCATAATTGCGTGTGTATATGAGGAAGATCTAATAGTGTATTTACCACTGGAAAATATTACACCACACTTTATTCCAATCATTCTGCATTATTTCCCAAAAATCTGACATTTCCTATACATCTTTCTGACATGGTTTGTATGTATGTATTCGGTGTAATGCGGCTAAAACATTGAACGTCTAAAAGAATAGCTTGCTTTTAGACCCCTCATTGCTGCAATTGTTTAATATCTCGATATTGAATCACTATTTATGTTCACACATGTCGTTATACCTACAGTGACTAATCTCAAAAATTTTGGCAAGATTGATGTGTATAACGCATTTTATGCGTTCATATTTTATTCAAAATTCATAATTTTTCGGAAGTATAAAAACCTCCTCTCCTCTATATTATTCTTTATAAGCAAATTATTCTTGCGATAAATATAAATAAAATAGAGAAATAAATTCGTTTTATTACAATATAGTCAACAAAATATAAATCTGAAGTAAAATAAAGTACAACGTAAAAATTAATAGATTAGTATTCATGTAATATGAGTAATATAAAATAAAATATAATAACATAAAATTAATAACGTTCTCGCTCTATCTCTTTCTTTGAGGTAATTTTTCGCAACGGTTGTACAGTCGCTACTAAATTAAGATAAAAATCTTACTATTTAACAAACGTAAAAATATCAAGAAAGAAACAATTGCACATGTTTCATTTACCGCGGCTCTCTGTATTAGCTACATTCCTCTGCGAATAAATGGAACCTTGAGCCAAACCCCTTATTGGTCCTTTCCGTAATTCGGATTGCGGGCCCTTAGCGAGACAATGATTCGTAGAGAGCAAATTCCCGTCGTGACCTATCGCGAGCGATCTCGAGAACGGTTGCTTGCACAATAAATTGGGATCTGGCCCCGACCATGGCGCGTAATCCGGCCTGAAATTTTTCGTTCCGTTATTTTTATTTATTAAATTAAATATTATTAAATTTTCCGTTAATATACGCAAAGATGTCATAAAATATCGATAATCTGCTAGTGATTATTCTCTCAAACGTACAATAGTAGATCGTTGTTCGCTCCCTTTGGTAAATCTGAGTTTGACCCAATTGGTTTGGTCAAATAAGGGGATTTATATTCTTTGTCTTCCGTAGTGCTGGTTCCACGTGAAACTCTAACGGAACGCATAAAACATTGTTAATAAAGATTATCATTCATGGAGCCGGAGTGTAATAATATATTTACACAAAGGTCCGCGCGGAGAATGAGAGTATGACTAATATTTAATAATAATATTTTAAGTTACATTTTTCACAAATTCTCTAGAATTACTCGAAATGTCTTGAAACAAAACGTCTTACTTCGGTATCTCAGTCTTATTTTTGGACCGTTTCGACTTTTCAGTCTCTCCCTCTTTACTTATCTTCTTAATCGGAGAAGCTGTTAATTTTATAGCTTCTGTCACCGGCGGACTGTCTTTTCGCTCGTCGCTTCTGCTACTACAATGTTTGATATAAAATAATGAAAGAAGAGACAAAAAATGTTTCCGCATAAATGCGCACATCGAAAAAACAGCCGAAGTTTTTTACCTTTGGCTACTAGAAGTACATATTGGTCGAGTAGCTTCCTCCGCTACTACTATATCTAATATATGCATTGCTCTCTCCTCGTCGTAATCTACGCTATCCATGGCAAGCATCACCACTCGATCTGGCACCGTTTTATATTTTTCCATTAAACGCGCTTTCACTGAAACATTTCCCTTGTGTAACACACTTACTCGATAAACAGAATAGAAACAAAAACTACGGAAAACGTACTCTTATTCTTCTCTTCCGTACTTTTCATTCGGGGCGGAGGTGTAGGCGCGGATTGTTCGTTTTGAGCCTGTAAAAACAAGAATTTCTTTCCCTTTTCTTTTCCATGCGAAAAACGCGTTACATATGCGAGATTCGCGATTACCCGTTCCTCTTCTTTTTTCTTCGCCAGAGCCTTGGCAGGAAGAGTGGGATTGCGTTTCTCGTATCCTAGATCGATTAGTCTCTCGGACGCCTTCTGCACGTTGTTATCGCTCTGTTCTAATATTTCAAGTAATATCGTTTCGTCCGCTTTTGGAAATACGTTTTTCAGGTACCTGTGCACACATACCAAGCATGTTTAATACAAATGTTTAATACAAACGTTTCACTACTATATACGCGACATACAAACATAATATAATGCATTGCGTATTTTATGCACTTTATGTACTATCCAACACATAATATATTTAAATTATACTTTGTTACTAAAACGAAATCATCTAAACATAAATCTTACTATAAACGTGACTCGTGTATGTAATAAATTGGTAAACACATAAAGGATCGATGATTAACATTACTCGTGGTATGTGCATGTGATTGATGTTCAAGATAAAAGTTTCTCCCTCCTTCATGACGAAGGTTACACTGTTCTGCGCGTTCATGAGCATCTATTTTTGACATAATGCACATGTACATACTCATCATGCTTGAATTTCGTCTCATTTTGGAATAAACAAGTTTTCTTGACATCATAAATAATTCCTCAAACTTAATATACGCGGGCGTGAAACCAGTATATTATCGATGATACACGTAAAAACCTTTTTATTCCCTTAGAGATCTTTTTGTAAAGATACAACTAACATGACAATAACATCTAATTGACAATATAAGCTTTACTCTTTGTGCCACTAAACGTCAAATAAAAATGGTATCAATAAACTAACCTATTCTAGACAGTGTAAATTTCATACTATCCGACATGTACGGTATCGTAAACCAGGAAGAAACTGAAAGATAAAATAAAAGTCTAAATAACAGATATCACGAAATTGGACATTATTGCTCTAGATGATAAATAAAACATTATTTCTTTTTTTAAAAGCAACAAAAGCATAACAAAATCAAGAGAGAGATTAATGACAAGTCTACATTTCAAATTACTTTATATATCTGCTACACCGCGTGCACGATATGCAAAATTATTAACTAATTTTGAAACAATCGATCAATTTAGATAATTCATTGCATCTCGAATACTTAGTGTCTAGAACTTATTTAAGGAGATGCATGGATTTTTGATACATGCCATTTGCTACATAATATCAACAATGTCGTGTAAATGTGTGAAATATACCAGACAATTGCAGAAATATAAAAAAGAAGGCAGTGCTCCTCGTCTGGTATATTTCTAGAGCTATTACAAAATACGATATCAACATCTAGCATCCAGACTGGGTGAGAGACTGAAATTATAAATATGGATTAAACCTAAGTTTCATTTTTGGGGAGTTAGGGGCTGGCCGGACCCCGCGAGGCGGACTCAATGTTAATGCTGCGTGTATAGCGTGAGCTGGTAGACGCCATCTCGGGATCGCATAATGCGAATGCACTCCCACAGGTGTGCACGGTCCTGGTGCACAAAGAGGATTCTTTTCCACTTGAAGAGCACTCATGACCAAAGCTGCTCTGTTATGGTATCTGAAAGACATTGGCTGCCGACTTAGCACCGCATTTAACATAGTGCTAATTTAGAGAAATAGTGACGGGAGACTTTTGGACAGACTCGATCAACAGCTTGAACAAATTAACTGTCTCTTGTGTCTCACGTACATTATAATATTTCGTGTATCGTGTCGATATTTGTACTGATATTAATATTTATATTATATGAGAATGTTAGGTAGTGTGAGTAAATTGAATTCGAGATATGACCTTGCTTAGATAGATAGGCCTTATCTTATGCGACAGGTTAACTTACTTCTTCAGTAAGAGACGAATATGCGTGTCGGAAACGGTCGGGAACACAGCATTGATTTTCGCCACTTGTGACTCGGAGTCCGAATTTTGAGTAAAACTCGTCTCCGTGTTTCTCACCGGAGTCGGTGATCCCAGTGTCAAATCGCCAAATCGTGTTGTCACCGCGCTGGTGGATTTCAGCGATAACGGAGTTTTCAGCTCCTGCACATATTTCGAAATCGGGTTACGCAATCGATCGAGGAAAAAACGCACTCATAACAGTTGATTGGCAAACACATTCATGCCTCACGAACATAGGACTGATTTAGATATTGATATCTACTTACCTGTCCACTGGGAGGTAAAAATGCTAGTTGTGGATTATGATAAGGGGACGGTGTTGGATAGATTTGTGGTGCTCTGTGAGCACCTGTGTAACTTAAGTGCCCACCACCTCCGCTTCCTCCGGTCTATTTATTTGTAGTATATTGTGTGTGTTATCCAAATGCAGCGTGTGCATATCACAAGAATACATACATTTACAGTGTAATGATATGCGATGTGATTTAAGTGCAAGATAGGACATATTTTTGCACATTTAGAAAGAGCACATGAATATTTATTACACACATACAACATCTCGCATAATGTGCTTTATTTTTCAGGCAATAATACTGTAATATTGGATGTTATATTGCTTTCTCAATATCTAATTAAGGACAATTCAATTAGATGTTAGATATATATGAAATTTGCATATATCTGACACACACACACACACACACACATATATATCTAATTGAATTGCTCCTAACTAAAGAAAACTCTTATTTTTCCTCAATACGATATTCTTTCACCCAGAATTATTTTATAGCTGATTATAAAGTAAATATATGATATATTTTATTTTTATATACAAATAGTATATGTAAAGCTTCTGATGGATTTATTGGCTGCATTATGCGAGACCTTGCTATGCACATATATATATATATATATATATAAGCAACTTAAACTGATTGTTAACTGACCTGCATAGGAATATCTTGGGAGGTAGTGGTAGTAGCTGAACTCAGGGCCATCGAGTTCTGAGCTTGTATATACTGCGAGTACTGCCAGTACCTCACTCTGGGATCTTCCCATGTTGTAGTACGATTGAAATGATTTATGAAATATCTGTAAGTCGTCGAATAAGGCAAATTAAATTTTTTGCATCATAGAACATCGTGCGAATCGATTTTCGATAATAAGTATTTTTAAAACTAACGCGCTCATTAGAGAGAAAAAGAGAAAAAGAAAGGACACCTATAGGTTACATGTAAATTAATTAATACGCGCAAAATATAATTCTCGTCAATGTTCCCTTCATTGCACATACGTTGACGATTTGTTCGTTCGTTTACTTTGGAGAACCTGCGGACTTCGAATGCATAGAGAGATCGGTAACGACACGGTAAGTTTTGCGCGACATTGATCCTCTATCGGTACAGGAAAATTTTGTTCTCAGGGGTGCTTACTCGGGTGAAGTAATTATAACAGAAGGAACGAAATTCTATGATGCATTTTTTACGTACGGACGACCGCTGCGAATGTCGTATCTGCATTCCCAACCGGGTGGTAATTGACTCCTGTCACTTTGCTCCGCCATTTTTCCGCGTTTCGTGTTTTGGATAACTACAGCTGAACTATTACGTATCACTGATTTCTCACGCGTTCGCTATTATACACCGTCATTTATCTGACGTCGCTGCGATGTCACGTTCGTACGACGAAGCAGCGAGATCGGGCGAGACCGATACGAGACTTGCGACGGCGTTCCACTGAACCGGCCCCTCGCTCGGATCGCTCCGGGGAGCGATTAAATCCCATTTTAACCCCGATTTCCATGAAGGTGTATTCCGCTAAAAATAGATTGCACATATAAGTCAAGAACGAACGATCGTTCTTGACATGTCTCATCTGTCATGTTACACGTGCAACTCTCGTGCACTAATTTCATAAAATCCAAATTGGATTTAAATACGCGATGATGTTTACGTCTGGTTCATGAGAAAGTGACTTGTTGTGCACAGAGAATGCGCGAAAGTGCGTCGTACGTCGCACAGGGTGTCAGGTAGATTCAAACTCTATTCAAAAATTTTGCAATTTTCTTGCAGCTAAATATCGCTGGGGAGTCTGATTTGCGATTGTAATTTCCTCAATTGAACCAAACCAAAAATGTAATATGCGAGCATAATTGCAACGTGATGGTTACTTATAATACTTTAAATTTTATCTCCCCTTTCTGTATGTATTCTATATGTATTACAAGTGCGGCAGGCATTTTATACAATAAAATAAAAGGGAGATGAGAAAATAGATGCATTATATGAAAACGTGTTTTATTTTAATAATACTCACAAGAGAGAATAACTAATTATCGGCGAATTAAATATATAATATTTGAGACAAGAATTGTCATCTATTAAGTTAAATATAAATTCGCAATTTTCAAATAATTTTTGGGGCAACCTTAGCACAATCACGGGAAAATTCTACACAGTAAAAAATATATCTTTAGCAATGTGATATAATACAACAGAGCTATATTTAATAAACATGAAATTACACATCTCATTAATATTTGTATTGTTATGAATTATCAAAAAGATGAAGCTTCAAATAAAATTACTAACTGTGCTACAAGTGACAACTGTAACATGTAATAAAATAAATTATATGTCATGTATTTTCATATACAATAATTTTTTCACATTGAGCTGGTTTTGTTTCGCATGTACTTTTTATCATTTATCATTTTGAAAGACAATTAAACTACAGATGTGAACTATATTTCAATTATGTTATGGTTCATTCTTATCATGTAATACATGCTTCTTAATCATATGGTAAACCATGCCAAATGTCAAGCAGGCAATCGCTGTTCCTTGAGCGGCGACACGCAATTGTATTAAATAGAACTGTGTGCTAATATTTTTCTTCTTAAAGTTGTAAGCGCCATAAGCACAAATGCCTGCTAAGCTTACTAAACCTGTTTAAACAAGCAATATAAACATAAGACATATACCGATGGTAAATGTTAAATTTATTTTTACTCATATATATGCATACATACTTGCTATAAGGAACGGTGATTTACGTCCCTTTTCTAAAAATCTATCTGATATAGACTGATCTATAGGTACATCATTAGTATCGGCCATTTTAAAAGAGAAAAAATTGTGTTAATTAATTTCTGCCAATCTGAAAAAAAATTTGATTATATAAAATGCCAATCAAATGCTAATCAATCTGAAATTTCGCTATAATAAATTACAGCCATCAGATTAGAGGCATTTCCTTATGTTATTTGTTTATGTCACACTGCTATTTAAATTTTATTCTCAATTTTGGTCATCAAATTGGAATGATATATGAAATTATTGTACTCAATTTTGCGCAACTTATAACCAATTTATAATCACGCGAATTATTTTCGGATCGACATGCTCTACCTTGCTGTTACATCATAAGTGTTTCGTCATTATTCATTATTGCTACTTAGATCGAATCTGCTTTTCCGCAAGTGATGTACGTATACATATACATATATACTGGCGCAAGTGTCAAGTATATAAAGTGCTATTTTGTCCGAATTTAAATCAATTTTGAAATTTACGTTCTCCAGATAGTATCGCGATTGATTAATCTCTAGCGTCATATAGGTTCAAGGTCGCGGCAATGAACCGTCAAGCAACTGTCATTCATTTTTAACTCGCTTAGTGCTGTACAATTGACAAAGGAATGGCGTAGGCGAGTTATCCCCATTTATTCGTGAGAAAAGAATTTCTCAATGATAAAGTAGAGATATTAAATATTATCTAATCATTAGAATTTGCCGTTTTTAATTGAGCAGAAATTTTTGACATTTAACCTAAATTCACCTTCGGAAAACTCCCTTAGAAACAAAAGCAGATTATAACGTAAAGGTATAAATTTTTTATTTTTTAATTATATCGCGAATATCTATGAAGTATTAATTCATGTTACTATTTGGTCCTTAAAATCACATGACAACTGTTTAGAGCATGTGACATGAAGAGAAGACAGTTAATAATTTAATTAGCGTACGGAAATAATTGCGATTGAGGCATGTCTATATAAATTAGTATTTCCGCGTAAAAATGAGATTTTCACTCACCTTCGTGTATCTAGCAGAACACTTGTTCTATCTGCTTCTACTGACGACGTGAAGCAATGACGCTCGAGAACCAAGTCATAGTAGTTACATACTGATATTGTACTCGAGTATGATATATGTATCGTTTAAAGGTCTATAGAGACCTCTTGTAGAGACTAACGAAATAAGCAAAGGCATTTTTCATTTTTAATCAAAATAGTAAAATTATCTTACAATTATGATATTTGTAATTAGGAGGATCGTTCATAAAGAGTTTTTTAACAAAAGTCGCTCAATCCACTAAAGTTCCATCTTATTGGAGTTCTCCAGTCTCGGTAAAATGTACTCTTTAGCCGAGACTTGAACCATAATTTCAAGTATCGGAAAATTTTACCGGCCGTTAAAAAACCAAGTATTTTTTATAAATTTTTAGAATTGCGTTCGATAGTACTTACGTAAGACGACGACGACCACCACCACCACCACCACCGTCGGTGTCTCGTCGGTGATAAAGATTACTCTGATCTGTCGTGTTTCTTTGGTTTATTATAAAAATAACGTGATTCCGTGTTTATGAGGTATTCATGACGTTTTATCTGCTATTTCAAAGATGGAGTCGGACTACCTTGTCGTGTTGACTTGTATCACTTCGATTCTTCGCATAGGATGGTGGCGGTTCGTAGTGGAGACTTTGGAACTAATAGGAATTACAGGTAAAAACAGAGTAGGTTCTTCTCTACATAGCTTAACTCGTTATTTTTAACGGTCGTTCGTTAGGACATGACCCGTTATTATTATTCCCAAGTCTCCGCTAAGAGCCGCTACATTTTTTTTAAATAATACGACACAACGGCGGGTTAGACGACCATTTTGTCTTCAGATATGTACGACTCGACAGCATCACAAACGCGGCCTTTTTATTTTTACGCATATAACTCAATGGTAAGTCAAAAGACTTCCCTATTTTCGAGTAATACGACATGGAAGCAAGCTACATTTTAATTTTCATACAGCGTAATTTTAAAACGGCTCAAACTTTTTATTTACACAAGGAATGACAGACTGTACGGCAGATATAATAAAAACATACTCCCATTTTATATCAATCATTTATTTTTTCCATACAAATTATAAACATGTTTTTCAAATACTGTACATATATACTGAGTTCTATTATATTTTTAAACCTCTAATTTTAATGATATATCATTTTATTTATTCTCATTTACTCGTTAAAACAACTACTTTGATCCTCATTTCGTTTCATTTATGATAATATACAGGTAGATTCTCTTGTGTTTTCCTTTTCCTCTTCTCATCCGATCAATAGCTTTTTTTAAATTTTCTTTTAGTCATCTTTACAATCAAGCTCAATTCTTTGATATGGCAGTTCCAGGATATGAATAAATAGAATTTTCAGGGAGAAAAACGCGAGTTTTTTTGTCCGAGGGATTCTTTGTCGAAATAAATTGTTGACGAGCCGATAGCGCGCGCCGCTTATTCGCAATTAATACTTTCATAGAGATGAGAGTCAATTGAACAAGACGAGTACACGCTGGAGAACATAATTAAGAGAGTCTCGCGCTTCTCCATCGTTTTATTACATTGCGTACCGACATTTTAGCAGAGTCGCGACAAGCTGCGAAAAGCTTGATTACAGGCGATAAAAATTAAGACGTAAACACAACGAAAATCTCTGACGCCGTGGAATCGCATATCGTGAGAAAGAAATCGACAGAGTACGATCTCTATGAAAATATCTTGTCGGAAATTATTTTATCCTTTTCCTTTTCTTTTTTATCTGACGCGTATCGCGACGTATTTCGACGAACGTGAGGCCGAGTACGTTCGAACGAGCTGCAAAGCGAAATAGCTTTCCCTCTTCTCGCGGGGAGGAATACTTCTTACAATACGAAAACATTCAGTTGCTGGAACTTGAACAATTTTTCATGGTCTTCGTGTAAATATGTACAAAGATATTTAACAAATCCGAGTCAATCTCGATCGATCGTATCATGTAATGTTGTGTACAGAGTGCAGTGTCATATCTCTTTCTCCTCTCTCTTTTCTTTTCTCCCTCCTTTATCTCAGCATTTTGTATCTTTCCTTTTTTGTCGAGTCTCGTTTACCGATATCTTTATCATCATCATCATTATCATCATCAATATAGAGTGAGAGAGTACTATTTTCTATCTTCACAGAAGACATAGATAAATATATATTTTCATAATCTTTCCTTACAAATGTAATTCGCTTACTTTAAAATCATTACTCGTTAATGTTAATAATATTAGTATCGGTACTCCTTTTTTCTTTTTTTTTTTTCGATTTCATACTCCATCTTCCTATGGATGTTCGTACAAAATAAGAATCTACACGATCAAACTGAACAATCTTTGAGTATCTTCCGAAAGTATTGCGCTGGTTTGGATTTCAGAAACGGTTGTCGTTTTAATAACGCACCACAGACGAACTCTGTTCTATTCGAAACGCGTGTGTTGGACAATCATGTAACGATCAAGATTGTCAGTGAAATAAAGATTTTTGTATTTATTTTTAAAATAAGACGAGTCCGTAGGAGAGACAGTCAATATTTCTCGCGAATCTTGAATCGCGTTTCGATTAGAACGGGGATCTCCGTGCGATCCAATATGTAACCACGCGACGCTGATTTGTTCATTGCAAAAAATAGAAGCGCTTTGTTTTCGCGACGGGCACTAACGAGCAAAATCATCACAAACAACTTATCCATATATATATAGCATGGCCGTGGTTACGATTCTCACTTGATATGCACGCTCGATTTCTTGCGAATTTTGCATCGACGCGATAAGTCAAGAACGGATTCGGTCTATCGTATGAGGACACGAGAGACGAAAGAAAAACGGTAACAATAATAATAGTAATAAAAATAATAAGTAAAAAGGTATTGAAAGCTGCCAGTATTTAAACGGAAAAAAAGAAAAAAAAACACATCCACGTATCGCGATTAAATATAAATTCCTCTCTATACTTCCGGTCAACCGTAATAGTATAAATTCATTTCTCACTCCAAATAAAAAGCGACATATTTCTGACTAAAAGAGAGATCAAAATACATTGCCACTTGTTCCGTAAAAGTTAAAGTAAGAATACAATAAGTAATATTATCTCCTTAAAATATACATATAACCATCTCTTCTCGCTTATGTTAATGTTCACCGCTCGATAGGCAAGTCCTGTTTCGGGAACACACAACAGATCGGATAAAAGAATAAGTAAAAAGAGTTGCTGTGCATTTACGCATAATAATCTATATGAGAGATGCGATTAAATAAGATCAAAACTGCAGGGTGTGGTCCTCTACTTGTTTAAACAATTGCCACTGAGTTCATGAAAAATCTCTGTATGTAAGTTCCATGGTCCATGTGCGTGTGTGTATGTGTATGTATGCATGTATGTATGTATGTATATATGTATCTGTTCGGTGTATGTGTATGTGTGTGCATGCATGTATGTGTGTGAATATGTCCAAACGCGTAAAATATATTATTAAGTACGAAATGTTTTTGCAACATGAAGCGTTGTCTCGTTATCGACGCTTTGAAAAATACTTGTAGTTAAAAATTATAAAGCGCTATTGAAATAAGACGATCGCAGACGACATGTTTGTAATGTGAGAATACGAGCCGTCTGTGTGAGACATTACGAGAAACCGTCACACGTCTCGCGTTACGTTTGAGTGAGACAGATTTCTATATAGTCTCTCTCAGCGAAAAAATGCCAAGGTCGGGTTTTCGAGAAAACTCTAACTGTAAGTCTCTATTACATAGCTATGTTCCGTTTGTGTGTGTGTGTGTGTGTGTGTGGATGCGTGAGTGTGTGTAACGGTGGCCTATGCTTCTATCCGTAAATTCTCGTGATCCGATACATCGCTTTATAAGTGGTAGAAAGATAAAAACAAACAAAGTACGCTATGTACGAAAAAGAAACATCATTTGCGTTTAAGAACTATAGAAAATGATCTTAGAATACAAAGTAAGGCGATTATACGAAATACAAACACATCCCTCTAAACCTAAGTGTCGCTGCCTAAGAGTGGGTGGGTTTGCACATTAGTAGGTGCGCTTTAAAAGATTTTTAAAAACGTATAAAAGTGATCATCATTCGTTCTTCCGGGTCGCGTGATGAAGAACGCCGCAGCGAGAGTCTTCCGACAATGATAAAAATTCTTGCACAATATTATAATATAGACAAGAGAAGCGTTTCTGCGAAGAAGCTTCAAAGAAACGTATGGTATGGTGCGCGTGTGTATATGGTGTGTTTTCGTTCTTCTCGATATCTAATTAGTAAAAATTATACGAATGATACAATCGTAAATTTAGGATACTTAAAACGTCTTCGTAATGGCATATCTCTCGGGTTAAACCTCCATTTTTTTTTTAAACTTAGAGAGAAATCACTTAGATAACTTTATACACGACCATTTATAACAATGTAAATCGTAATCATTGCATTAATATTTAACATATATATCCTTATGTACGTAATATATGTATATTTGTGTATCAGTGTTGTCTTGTCGGGGGTTTCTCTATCGCCTAATTTAATAATAAAACTATAATACTAGATCATGTTGGTACCATGCCTTTCCGAGGTCAGAGTCTGTTTCTGCGTTTTGTTCTTCTTGCTTTTTCTTTTCTCTTTGCTTCTGGTACATGCTTATTCCTTTTAATAAGCATTTTCACACCAAAATTTATTGTCGATTTTAACTTAATTTTATTTCATCCCTTTTATTATACATTAAAATCCCGAGACGAATCGGACTCGTCGATTAAGATGGATGACGAACCACGGTCATAAAATATCTATACGTTTATATCTATTTGTATTATAAAATTTACAATTGTGCGCGCACATGCGCGCGACGTATCTCGGGCTCACGTTAGACTTAGATCTTAGTTGTTACTGGAAACTTCTCAGTCCAGACAAGTTTCAAGCAACGACTATGACAGCACGGCCTCGAAGACGTTGCGCATGTTGCACGTACAAAGATGCCATCCTGCAACACGCGTCCAAACTCTTAGACCAATAATTTATTAAAAGGTATATAAACTTCGAATCAAACTCAAGCTCGGGCTGGCCAGTACTCTGTCGTACGTGCACGTACGGTGTACGCGTGTATTTTCGAGTTTTTCCCCAGACGTTCCACGGAAAATTCGCGATTATTCGCGAGTCTCGGAATATATCCTCCGTGATATTAAGGAAACGCGTGAGAATTCTCAAAGGATAACATTGTAGAGGCTTCGGGAAAGACGCGTTTTTACTGTACACGGTACTGTATCAGAAGTTCTTAAATTTCCTAAGTAAAGTAAGTAAAGCGTTTGCTGGAACGCATCAAGGGTTTACAAGGGACAATTCTCCTATTATCGTTATATTATCTTAATTATCTTGCCTCTTTCGCTTTCATCGTGCGAATATCCTCCGTGGAAAGTCGCCTGGGCGCGAGAATAATATCTTCCCGTGTAAATGTGTGTGTGTGTGTGTGTGTGTCTTACACCCACGTATCGATGCGTCGTGTCGTGTTTCACGTGTGTTCGTTTCACGTATGTGGTTGTATATGTTTCGTCGTGTGTGTCTCGTTTTTGCGTCGGTGTTTCCTGTATACGTGTTCGTACAGTGTATACGCGTATGGATGATCTTTATGTGATGGTAGGCACTGATGGGGGTGGATGGCTGCATGGCGAGCAAGTTCAAGCAGGCTAGTCTTTGACCAATCTGTATATGTGATGCTGAGCACCGTGTTCGGACGTCGACACCTCGAACACATATGCCGTGCACAGTAATGTCTCATGCGTGTCCTTATCCGTGACAACCTGAAACGGGAAAGAGGCACACGGTCGAGTAAAATGTCATCATTATCGCTCCGCTCGCCTTTTACCCGCGATTATCGCACTCATTACGGCACTTTAGATAACTTATATCCTTGATTTTCTCTCGCGCGATTGGGTTATCTCGCTGGAAGCGAGATCTCGGGGAACGACGTTCTCCCCTGTCTGAGAGGTCGCCGCCGCCGGCAGCATTCATACGACGTACCTGGAGGATAGTGAAGTTCTCGAGAACGCTGTTCATCATGTACTTTTCCGGCAGGTGCTTCAGTTTGTGGATGAAATTGATCATGTACTCGCACATGGGCGATTCTCTGATGCGGTAGACGAACCTGCCGTTCTCAAACCTGGCGTATTCCGTCTCTACCTTCTCCACCACCTGCTTGCCGAAGGAGCACACTTTCGTCGAACACGTGATCATTTTTATGTGTTCATTGCTCTCGTACCTAGTCATGACAATGAAATAATTAAATACACGTTTCGTCACGTACACGTAGTATCGCGGGGAGATCAATCAGTGCGAGACGAAAACGGAAATACGGAGAGACAGAGAGACGCGAAGACAGATAGGTAGACAGGCAAACGTCACTCACTGGCTCGTGACGCCGTAGAATGCAGCAGCTTCGTCTTGGATGTTGGTATTGAGATCAGCCCAAAACTTAACGAGGAAGAAAGCCGCCTGAGGTCCCTTATCGTACAGCTCCTTCAGGCCGCCTTTCTTCTCCGGGAATTTGTCGTATATCTGCCTAATGTCGACTGCTTCTAGAGGGTCTCCGTAGACCGCAGGCCCTCCTATTTGGACGAATAAGTGCCTGTGATACTGCAAGAGAAAAAGAGGAATTACGCGTGAAACAATAGCATGTTTTCCGTCCGCTCGTCATTGTCGTTTAACCGCGAACAGAAAAACTCGACTCCTTGATGACGTATTCCTCATAAATATCCGTCATCGAGCTGAACGTGGCGCCGCGGGTAGCGATTGATTAATCGCTTGATCCGAGTGACACGAGAGATCTCAACGTTCAAATTCAAATTCAAATTTGTTTTTATTTCGAGTCAAGCGATCTTAATGTACACATTATTGGACATATCTCGGATATCACCTGATGAAAATGTTACGTACGAATGTCGTAGGGATCTTCCGGGTCATCTTGTTCAATTGACATTCGTAGTCAGTCTCCATGAGAATAAATTCGACCACCTTACATGAGCGCGATTTTTTTGCTTTCACAGGTGTTCTCCTCCATCTCGACTCCGTCTCCTCTACTCACCATCTCCTGATTTCTGTGCTGCTCCATATAGGCCGTGAACTCGACGAGCCTGAGCTTGTGGGAGGCGATGGCGCGTCCTTCCCACGGCGGCGGCGGCGCCGGCTGGACCATGTCGCCGCTCGAGACCGCCGTCGCCGGTTTCCCGGTGTAGGCGGGCTGAGGAAACGGCTTGACATCCTGAGACGTTCCCGGCTGCAGTCCTGGCTGCCAGAATTGCTGGAAATGCGCAAGAAACGCGACTCGGGGTTAAAGGCGTCGCGCGATGATGACGTCGCGGCGGTTTCGAGCGCAGCGGACGCATTCTCGCGCGAACTCTTGTACTCACACAGGTATGCGCGCACAGATGTCGGCCGATTGTTGTTTGTTAACAGAACGGCCAACAACGACGAACAACACGGCTCCGCCGTTCCGAACCGGATTCGACCGGCGGATTAAATAATTGACGGGCCCCGCTTCATTGTCGGGCGCGCACCGACGCGAAATTCGAACAACAGCGCGCGCCGTCCCGCCGCTGTGTCGTGTAATCGCATTAACACTGTCGCGATACAAAGAAGCGAATCGACAATCGATACGTTGCCCTCGGCTGTGAAAATCGCACGAGCGATTTTCCGCGCTTCTCTCACGAGTCTGTCGATCGGGATTTTCGCGAGCCGCGCGTCGTCTTCGGGCGATCGAGCGCATTTCCCGCTAAATAGTCGCGATGTTGCGCAAGAAGAAAAGAAAGAGAAGAGAAAAGTCACGCGAAACTGCCTCGAGGAGGAGCCTCGAGGAGTTTTGTCGCGTGCGCAGGAGGAAACCGTTTTCTCGTTTTCCGTCTTCTTCCGTGAGCCATCGAGCACCTCGGGCGAGATACACGAGATCGGTGCGAGTCGTAGTCGCGAAAAGGTGTGCGGCAAGAAACGATGGAACAAATAAACGCGAGTAGTAGAGAACAACAACAACAACAACAACAACAACAATAACAGCAACAGCAAACAACAATAATAACAACAACAATAGCGAGAGCATGGACAATAAAAAGATCGGTAGCTTCATTGCGCGAAGAGAAAGAAGGAGAGATAGTTTAGTAAGCCACAACGACGTTTCTCGTTATGCAGATACGTCCACTGTTTTATGAATATGCACCCCGTGTGTCTGTTATATGTGCGTGTGCGCTCGTGCTCTTGTGGGTGTGTGTACGTGCCCAGCCGATACATATGTATATTATGTACATGATAGAGCAACGGACAAATTCAACAATACACAACAAGGGCCCCCAGGGGCGTAGCAGCAGAGAGCGGGAGAACGTCGCTTTTGCGAGGGATGGTTAGTCTTTGACGCACAAGCCTTCGCTATGAAGAGTAGAAAGTTCGCGGTATCGAGGTTTTACGGAAAACATCCTCGCTCTCGCCCTTCTCGTCGCTCTTGTTCTTTCTCTCTCTCTCTCTCTCTCTTCTCTCTCTCTCTCTCTCTCTCTCTCTCTTCTCTCTCTCTCTCTCTCTTCGTTCCCTTCTTCTTCTCCTCCACCTTCTTTTCCCCTTTCTTGTTGTATCTTCTTCTTGTTTTCGTCTTTTGTTTCCTCTCAATCAGACACGAAGAGCACGAGAGAGAGAGAGAGAGAGAGAGAGAGAGAAAGAGAGAGAGAGAGAGAGAGAGAGAGAGAGAGCGAGAGAGAGAGAAAGAGCACGACGCGAGAGCAGAAGAAGCGAGAGGAAGTGAATACAATTGAAAGACACAAAAAAAAAAAAGAAAAAGAAAGAGGACACGAGAAAAGCTCTTCCACCGTCTGCGATCGATTAATCCATATTCATTCGGTTTACGCGGGAATGAAAACGCTTTGATTCGCACGAATCATCGTTAATGCACCGTCCTCGTCTCAACTTCCATTGTCTTGGCTGATTTCTATTCGAGACAAGAATAATTACGACTGGACCGCGCGCGCGCGTGCGATCTGAAAATACGAAAGTATTTTCAAGCGCCGGTCGACACTGAGAGCCAATGTTAAACGTGAACAACTAATTACAACTTTTACCCGACTTTTGACGCTTTTCCGCATGTAGATCGTATGTTTCACGTGTACGTTTCACAGAGAGGCTGCAAACACGTTGAGAGGAATATAGTGGCGAGTGAGCGCAGTTCGCTTGTCACGCCTTTACCGCGATATGACGAATCGCGTTTTGATCGCACTCAACCCTCTCACGAGACACAAAACTTGCAGGTCAGTTGACAAACCACATGGCGGTGATTGCCTTCCACAGGCGGATTATTAGCGGTTATCGGGCGAAGCGGTTAGGAACAGTCACGAACTTCAAAAAGAAGAGGAAGAAGAACCGGTCAAACCGGCAATACCGATGACAACAGTAAAGTTCGTATCTTCAGAGACGACGAGACGCTTTTCCGTGCGAGTTCCTCTCGTGCGAGGCTCTTCCGATAACATTTCGAACATGAATTCTTAAGCGCGCACACGTCATCGCGTAGTCGCGTCATCATGCACTCTTTTTGCCTTTTCCCTCGATATCTCTTCTCCCAAACGCACCGTTCGATCGCGTCAAAGTGACAAGGAACAAACTATTTCGCTTCTTCCCGAATAATTCGTTCGCGCAGATTCCCTCGTGGACGGGAGTTTAATTCGACGACGACTCGCTCGTCGACAAAGGACGTTCACAAATATCGGCTGAAACGCACAAATATTTCCAAATCGTACGGTAAGTCTGGCCTGACGAATCTCCGTTGAAATCCGCAAAGCTCGTCGTTGTGTCGTTCGCATTCTCGATACGTCGAAACGGAAACAAACGAAACGGGAGGACGATCGACGAGAATCCAATTAAAAGGTCCTCCCGAGGAAGAAACGCGACGCGCAATAATTATCGTGTAAAGCCCGAGGGAGGGAGTCCGAGAGCTCGCTTCGCGCTCGTGATTCGCCGAGCCGAGGGGCTCGATTTATCATGCGAGACCGCCGCTGTCGTTACGGTGAATTAAACGAGTCCGCGAGTTACACGGCGTCTCGTCGTCGCGTATCACCAGCCCCAAAGCTCGTGGCTCTTGTGGAAGAGAAAGGCCGACAAAGAGTGTGTGTGTGTCTTTCTCTTTCTCCTATCTATCTCCTCTCTTTCTCTCTCTCTTTCTCTCTCTCTCTCTCTCTCTCTTTCTCTCTCTCTTCCCCACCGCCCCGTCGAGGGGTCCTCTCGCGTTCTCTCACCGTGATCAGGACTTACCGCTCCGGGATAGGAGACAGGGGTGGAAGCATGAAGGGCAAGGTGCCCCACGAGGGCGGGGGTCATCTTGTTGTGTATCGAACTTCCAGCTGATACTATCTGGGCGCTCGACATGTTCGACATTGTCTGGAGCGTCTTCTCCTTGGTTGCATGATCCTGACAAATTTTTAGACCGATTACCAACGCAACGCCTGAGACGTTAGAGAGACGTCATATTAGCGATAAAATGGGGCGATTAATTAAGAGAGATGTTGTGTATAATCGTGCCGTCTGAGAGGGGAAGAGCGTGCTCTTCTGGAAACGATGCTCTGATCCTCTTTCGCGACTCCATTACGTAAGCGCGACTACGTCAGAGAGATCGCCCTCGAACGATCGGAAGGATATCCGAGAAAAAAAAAAAGAAATCGGTCGAGCGCGATTCCCTTAACGACAGATTCTTCGACGAGCGACGTTGTTCGACGACGTTGGGGAAGATCTCCACTATCCGAGATCTTTCCGCGATGCTCGGCGAGTTTCATGTGAATGAGAAGTTCGGGGAGACTCGACTTCGAGACGAAGCAAGAGGGTGGCCTCTCCCCACTTGGGGAGCAATTTCGCGCTCGTTCGTGCGCTTCGTCTCGAGCCGCTAGGACGATCAATTATTCAGGACAAATCGACTCCAAAGTGGTGAAAGAATGTGTCATTAGAGCCACGACATGTCGTCGGCTTATTCGCGGCTCATAATCTGCGCGGATCAGTCGCGGGTTAGACGCGTTTCTCGCGCGAGTAGAATAGAGACGCAGATAATGCCAGATATTAGTAATATCTCTCTTAATGAGGCGATGCCGCGCGCGCGCTCCACTGAGTCCCTGCGAAGATTCTTCATTTTCGTTTTTCATCTATCCACGACCATCCCTCTATCCGTGCTTCGGTGTTTCCGAAAAATCTCAAAGCGCCAATTTTTCCATCGTCCACCTCTCGTGGAGGGACAAACGCGCGTTGGCGGCGGCGGCGGCGGCGGCGGCGGAGGCGATGCTGACGGTGGTGGTGATGGCGACGGATCGAAAAATCGGGGGAATTCGCGACATCCAGGACTCGCGATATCAATCAACAGTCGGCGGATAAATTCGTAACATTCTCAATGATGCGAATCAATTTGCCGTTCCGGGCGCGCGATTACCAGCGTCCCCTTTTTTCTCCGGTATTTTATTTTTTTCCGCGTTCCCGTCCATCGTGCGCGCGCGAGCGCGCGTCGCACGCGAGAGATGAAATCGATCGGCGATCGCGAGCCGTGCGCGCGCGCGCGCGCGCGGCCCCGCTTGTGCAATGCAGTTGATTGCAGAAACAACGGGCAGCCGCCGAGTCCGGTTGCAACAGAAATTCGCGGGAATTCGGCGCTTTTATCGGAAAGCCGTCGTTTTAATCAGCGCCCGACCGAAAATCGCTGACGAGGCGAACGAGAGGTGGTTCGTTGCCGTGACGTTCGGAAAATTGCCCACCACCACCACCACCACCACCACCACCACCACCACCACTACCACCACCACCACCACCTCCACCACCTCCACCACCTCCACCACTACCAGCAGTAGCTGCAGCGTCACACCACCACCGTCGTCGCCACCGTCACATCCAACCCCTCCTCCCCAACTCTTACCCTCGCGCTTCTCCTGCACCCCGTCCCCCTTTCGCCCCGTCCCCTCGTGTGCGGGGATTTTCAATTTCGTTCATAAATCCGTAATGGAGGAGTCACTACGAGTGCCGTCGGCCGGAATGAAGCGCAGCCCGTAACGATGCGAGCAATAAAGAATTTAGTGACGGTGCGCGACCGAAAATCACGGGTTACATTTTGCTCCCCGACGTTGTTTACGCCCATCGCGTGTTCCCGTTGAAATATACACGCACACACGTATACACACACATACACAGGCTGGCTATTCCCGGACCCGCCGCTGTCGTCGCCGTCGCCGCCGTCGTCGTTGTTGTTCCTATTATCGTAGATTTTTCGACCAATTCGAAGACGAATTTCGTTTAATGAGATTGTCAATCATCTACGCGTTCGGCGACCTGTTTCTCAGCCGTGGAAGTAGACTTCGGAAGATTTTGTCTCGAGAGGTCTCGAGAGATTTTGTCGAGATTCTTTCGGGCAATTTTACGCAAATTCATCTTCAGCAACAGAAGCTGATTTAACTTAGACTTCATTTGTACACTTTCATCCTCTCTGATGATTCTGGGAATGAAGACGTTTAATAGCTCGGAGAAGGCTGAAACTCGGGTCGCTTTGTTTACAAAGCTTTGTTTACAAAGTGATACGTGTGAGATGTATCTTCTAAAATAGGGACAACAATGTCGCGTGATTCAACGTGAGTGAACTGCGCGCGAGGATGCATGCAGTGAGAGCAGAGAATGAATCGGCGAGAAGCGAAAAGTCTGAGCGAGAAGAGACGGACGATAAAGCGGGCGTCGAAAGTTCAAACGGCACGACTTCTTTTCACCACTTCGCGCCATTAATGACTAATGCCCGGAAGACTAATTACGGAATAATTGCGTAACCATCGTGCTTATTATCATGGGAGGGAGCGATCGCGCGACGACGGAATATTGAGCCGCGACATTTTGTATCGAGTACACACACACACACACATACACGCGTGTCCTTCTTCGCGCGCACTTATCGTCGCGCCAATAACCAGACTTGTCGCGACAACGGCGGCGACGATTAACGGGGACGACGAAGCCCCCTGGTGAAACACATTTCGCAATTAGCGGGCTATCGCGTAACACGTTATCGCGACTTCTTCGTAATTTCGTCGGCGAGCCGTTCGTTCGTTAATTAAAACCGAGGGACGGCGATCTGTTAGAAGAGATTCCTCCAGACGCGAGGAAAAGAGAGAGAGAGAGAGAGAGAGGGAGAGGGAGAGAGAAGAAGAAGAAGAAGAAGAAGAGAAGGAGAAACGATCTTGTCACTGCGTAAGATCGCGATCCACGATCGACAAATTTTCCCGATCAGGCACGAGTCTCGCGCGCGCGCGCGGGGTGTTTCGTGCGCTGGTCGTTTTTTTTTTCGCGGATGTCGGATGACATCGATTATCCGCGAAAAGTCCATTTCGCTGCGCGGACCACGTTGTTCACGTTGTGCGGAGCTCGCGCTGAATTTGCAGCGGAAAATCAATTCGGTTAATTGAGAGGGTGCAGTCCGTGTCGCTTTTTTTAATTTCCATCCTCCGCCCTCCGTTCTCTCTCTCTCTCCCTCTCTCCTTCTTTCTGTCTCTCTCCCTCTCTCTATCTCTGTTTCTCTCTGTCTCTCGCTCTCTCCTGCCCTTCATCTCTCGAATACACGCCAGGAATGCAGAGGATTGGGCGGGTAACGGGTTGGACATGTTTATCGACATTCTGAAACGCCGCTCGCCCGTTTTTGGGCACTCCCTCTCCTCGCCCTCCCGCCGCTCCGGCCGATCCCCCCTCGCCGCCGCGCCCCGTTATCGGGAGTACGTTTACACCGCAACAATTAATTACGCCGTAATGCCTGGTGCAATTATTTCCAAAATAGATAAAACGACCGGGCGATCTCGATAGACCGTGATAGTCGGCGTAATCTCGTTTGAGGGGCGCGGCGCCGCGTGTAAAATTTGCGAGCATACGTGGCCGAATTTGCGTAAAACGCGATACGCGCCGCGCGCATTGTTAACGCACGAGGGACAGAAGATAACGGAGGGCGCGCGCGATAACATCGACGAAGGTAAGACCGTTCCGCGGGCGGGGAGGAGGACGTTCGAAGGAGCGGCGGTTCACAGGGAAAATGTGCAAAGAGAATATCCTCCCCGTGCCGCTGTGCTGCTCCTGGTTAATATTACGCGCAAATTTGCCTGCGCTTGTGCCGGTCGCACACAATATTTTTACCAGAGAGAGAGGAAGAGAGAGAGAGAGAGAGAGAGAGAGAGAGAGAGAAATCTCACAAGGACAAAACCTGCAACCAACAATTTCACCTCGTCGATTCGATCCAAGTCTGCGGGCGCGCGTTATTTCAACGAAGCAAACAGTTTCGTCCAAGTCGGCCTCGTTAAAACATGTGTGTATGTGTGCGCGCGTGCGCGCACATACACACGCACACGCACACGCAGCGTGCGGAAGTAGGGAGAGCGATTTGCATAAGGCGGCATGGTTGCGCGAAACACGAGAACGAGCACGAGCCGGCCGCGAAATTCTTTCCCTTCCTGGTCGAATAAATCGCGCGACACGGCCGCAGGGGTAAGCGACCCTCTCCGAGCAACAAGCAAAAGCCGCGAGAGTGAGGGGGTTCACCCTTCTTCCCCGTCCGGGGGAAGCGCGGAAACCAGAAAATTACGTCACGGTGGACCCCAGTGGACCCTATCTCCTCCTCCGTCTCCTCCTTCACCTCTCCTCTCTTCTCTCCATTCTCGCCCATCCCCCTCCTCCTCCGTGGTCGCGCCGGCTGCTCTCCTGAATAATGTTCGCGGTATGCGGCCACTGCAGTTGCAGTCGCAGCTGCGGCTGACCGTGCTTAAAAACGGAAAGCCGCGCAAGTATTTCATAAATGGCATCGCCATGGGAGCCCGCGCGCACACGCAGGAAAGCGGCGACATCTTATTACGCGAACCGTCGTGGCCGTAATTAAAATCGTTGGAGGGACGCCGGCGCCGGTTTCTCAGAAGCTGCCGCCGCCGCCGCCGCCGCCGCCGCCGGGGGTGTGAGGGGATGCGAATGAAATTTGTAAAAATAGTTTTTTCTCCTTTGGCTGAGAGCGAAAGGGGGAGCGCCGTTGATACACGTCGTGTATATTCCGTGTCGATAGCGTGCTGATGGCGTGGTAATAATAGTTGTGGCAATCGATGGCGAAACGCGACGAAACGCAAAAACACGCTCGACGCGATAATTAACAAATTACATCTAACGATCGCGGCACATTCGCCGGATAAGCGCGCTATCGATAAATTGTATTTAACGATCTGGTGGCTCCTCTCTCTCCCTCCCTCCCTCCCTCCTTTCCTCCACCCCCCCCTCTCTCTCTCTCTCTCTCTGTTTCTCTCTGTCTCTCTTACGGGCGCGCTCTCGCCCGTTCGGCCGCGCGTAGTCGCGTCTAAATTGCGCGGAATATCCGAAAAAAAATTTCGGTTTATCGCCGTCGATTAAACTAGGAGCTTTTTTCCCACCGAACGAGAGTTTCAAACTGGAGTGCATGCAATCGTACGGTTAATTTACACGCGCGGCTTGTTTTTCCACTCTTTTCTATCCCGAATATTGACCGATGCTGTATAAACAATAGTCCCTGCCTCCTCTCTCCCGTCTCTCTCTCTCTCTCTCTCTTCCCAACCCGTCCACCCTCTCTCTCTCTCTCTCTCTCTCTCTCTTCGCCCCTTCTCTCCCTTCCGATCGTACCTTCTGTCTACTCCGCTGTATCGCCGACCAACGGCGAAATGGAGGCACCACCACCGATTGCGCCGCGCCGCGCTTTGATTTATTAACCGGCGCGCAATTGTTCGCGAATCGCTTTAATAATTCAGCTGTTGATTAAACGGGCCCGGGTTCATTTTTACGCGTGATTTATCCCGCGGCAATGCTCCTCGATACGATATCCCGTGTGTGTCTCTCCCTCTCGTCGAAAATGATTCCGCAACGCTCGTCGCTCGCTAATGTTCGCGCACGCCGATCGCGATTTAATATTACCGCTCGGCGCGCCCGTGTCGAGCGGGGTGAGCGAGACCGAGCGCGAGAGAGAGCGAGAGAGAGAGAGAGAGAGAGAGAGAGAGAGAAAGAGGTACTGCGAAACGCGAATTACAACAGGATCTCGATTATTCTAACACACCGCGTTTCACGTGCCTCCTCTTGCGCCTCTCGAAATTATCGTCGTGCGAAGCGACAAAGGAATAGGAAATCATTTATATGAGGAATTTTCTCTCACAATTTTCTCCCCCCCTCCCTCTCTCTCTCGCTCTTTCTCCTCGCATGTACGCGAGTCCCGTTGGATATCTCGTTGCAGGTGAAAAGGAAAAGAATGCGTAGAAAGAATAGATGTGTTTGTTCGCGCGTGCGAAAGTGTTGTTGCCCATCCTTCCGGTATAAATCGGGGCCGCGCGCTTTGCGGAAGGAAAAGAGAGAAAAAAACACACGAGACCGTCTGAGCCTTCGAGCGGGGCTCGAATTATCGATTCGACGTTGTCCGGGCCGGAGAGCACCGGAGAGTTTGCACGCGCGCAATACCTCATATTTATCTACGCGCCGCTATCGGGACGATACGACGCGACGTGTCGTCAAATATATCGCAGTGCCGTTTAAATAAATGATCGGCCGTGTTTGTCTCATATATCATTATCATAACAACGCGTCGCGTTAAACCAACGCCGCCGCTGGCGTTGCCGCGCGGCGTCCGTTATCACGATAGTCACAACATATCATCGTGTTTCGCGGCCTAGGAAATCGCGCGACGAGAGCCTTCGAAAAAGGACCAGATCACTCCTTTCCCTCTCCGCTGTCCCCTCCGCGAAAGAGACGGCCGCGCGCGAGACGTCGTTAAGTGGATTCGATGTGGCGTTGAGAAAAGCGTGTGAGGACAAAAAAGATATATATGTATATACTGAGAAAAAGAAGAGGAAAAGAAAAAGTGGAGTATTAGACAGCTGTAAAAAAAAACGATAATGAGAACGCAGATCGGCAGAAGACACACGGGCTCAGCCGTGTGTACACGTTTCTTACTCACCACTTTGAGTTTCGCCTGTATTTCCCGGAGTTTTCTTCTCGCGAGGACCTGTATGTGCGAGGACACCTGCTTTCGCGTTCTCGTCTTACCGGTCCTCAATTTGATATAACGGGCGATTAGCTCGTTGCGACCTGCAACACGACGAATTATGCGTATAGAAATCAGGGGGAGACCTCTCTCTCTCTCTCTCTCTCTCTCTCTCTCTCTCTCTCTCTCTCTCTCTCTCTCTCTCTCTCTCTCTCTCGTCGATCAACGTGCCGATCAACGACGCCGACGACGATCGATACGACGCGATACGATCGCGGATGTAAATCGCCATAATTAATAAACGAAGAATTCGCGCAGCGACCGGCCGCGATGATACATCCCGCTCGTCTCGCGAGAAAATCGCAGTGGAGCTGGAAGCGTCTCTCTCATCGCTGCTTCATGATAGACGATTAAAAATTGAGATGTAATTGGATTATCGGTTAAGCTCTCGCACAATCAACATGCAAAATAGATTACAGCCAACCGGTGTTTCAACCGCGCTCGACCGACGACGATCGAGGATGGAAGATAACGACACTCGTGGTCGCGCGTGTATGTTTTTATTTCGAGTGTCTCTCTCTCTCTCTCTCTCTCTCTCTCGAGAAGGGGCTCGAGATGTTCAATGAAATCGACTCGCCTATAATTAACGGTGATCAAGAACTCGTACGATCGAGTGAGTTCGCAGAACGTCGTAAAACGCTAACCTAGCTCTCTTCAAGCTCTCTGTTCGCCTCTCGTCGTCTCTCTCTCCCTCTGTCTGTCTCTCTGTTTTTACCCGTTCTCTACCGAGTCGTTTCGCGAAAAATCTGAACCGCCACGATAAATTCTGATTTCCACGCCGGGAATGGAAACAAACAGTCACGGATCCGCAGAAGCGTCAGGATCGGTCCCGGGGAAATGAAAAGCTCCCGTGACGAAGATTGCATTCTCGCAGTCTCGGATGCGGGAATTCCTTCTAGAATTGACGAGAAGCAGACCGGCAGAGGCGGATTCAAACAAACCCTCGAGAGCAGCCGTGCTCTCGAAATAGGCTTTGAGAGAGAGAGTTGCCGCTCCCCCTGCGCGCCCCCCTCTTCCTCTCTCCTTCGCGCGTGCAGATAAAAGCGGATAAAATGCGCTTTATGGTCGGAGAGCCGCGCCCCGGTGATCGCGGTGTATTTAAGCGATCGGCGTTTTCATCCTGCACTAAAACAGATTTAGGGTTTAATGGCGCCCGGTAACGCGCTCGCGCGCTTCCCTAGCGCTCCTCATACCTAAAGAATAACGCGCGCGGTTTATCGGCTGTTACCCCCATCTTTGCGCAAATTACGCGATCGGCCGACGGAGTTACGATTTTTCGGTCGGAACGAAATAAAAATTCGTCGATGAAAACCCGCGTCGCGTCGCGTCGCGCCGCGCCGTTATGATTAATTTCGCAGAGTAAACATTCAAAAACCGCCAATTACCGGCGGATTCATCCGGTGGCGGGTGACGAGAGCGATAGACCTGGGGCACACAGGGCGCGGGAAGAGCAGACCGCGCTGAACGACAGACGATTTACGAGATCGCGTGCGTGTGGAAAAAGGGGGAAAAAAATGGGAAAAGCGCGAACGACCTCTTCGCCACTGCTGTTGTCGGTGCGTGGAAATTATTTCGCGCGTGATCCGCGCGCGGTTAAGTTTAGCGGCTGATAAAGCGCTCGTCATAAATTCTAATTAGCGCGCGAGAAGGGGATGGTTGCGCAGGAGGAGGGAGGGCCGTGTTACGAGAACGTTACGCGGGGACGTGTAACTGAAAAGCGTCCTCGTCGGGCGAATCGACGTCGTCGGGTGAAGGATAAGCTGCCCTGCCTCCGCTCTTCTGAATCGCGGACTCTGGGTAGATAACGAAACGCAATAAATCGTAATGAGCCGAAGTCAGATCGCGAGAGTGGCTGACGCGAAACGATGAAAAGGAGAACGAGGGGGGGAGAGAGAGAGAGAGAGAGATAGAAAGAGATAGGAACGTACGCGGAGCGAGGTGAGGGGGAATGAAAGAGTTCGTGGGGTGCCTTCACTCGCGATTCGCGCGTAACCGTGCGAATATAAATCGCTCGAGACGACCGATAACGAGAGAGAGAGAGAGAGAGAGAGAGAGAGAGAGAAAGAGAGAGAGAGAGAGAGAAGGCTGATTTTGGAAACGATGAAAAGAACGGAGAATCGATTCGGTGGCGGCGCGGCGCGTCGCGCGTGTTCCATGAAAACCCCCGGTAACTCTCCTCATCCCTCATCCCCTCCTCCCTTGTGCCCGCTACCACGCCGGTTTTAACAACACGAATATTCCATTTACGCGTCCCACTTCATTTTTCGTTTTTCGATGTAACAATGTACCGCTCGCGGCCCTGCGCCGCGTACATTATAAGACGCAATAAGGAAGGGGGAGGAAGAGGGAGGAAGGTTTTTGTGTTTTTCCTCGCCAAGCTTCGACAGTCGTGAAAGACGCAACGTCAAAGTGCGACGTTCGAAAACCATCGTCGCAATGTGGTCGCGCGCGCGAGAGAGAGAGTGCGCGAGAGAAAGAGAATAATCCGTCGGCTCATATCGCGCGGAATCCGATGAAAAATGCAACGAATCCGATTACGTGCGCCGAATTTACGAGACACATACTATGCCGGGCCTTTCGAATTTCATTAGTCTCGTCCCAGCCGTGTGTACTCGTGAGAAAATGTCGGATATCAAATTATTCAAATAGGTCCCGGCGCGCTGCTACATTCATGAAGTGCGATGCCGCGCCGAGGAATTTCCCGCAATAATAAACGGGAGGGGAGCTCTTTTCGAAAGCACTTTTCCCTAACCGGATTTCCAGCCGCGGAATTGCCATTGTGCACGTCGTTGCCTCGTTGCAGCGCACCGCACAGCACGTTCGTGGCGGCGGACCGCTGAAATGGTCAATATACGATGACAAATGTGACGCAACCGCGTTTGCGAAACAAAGGAGTCATCATTGTCGTCGTCGTCATCGTCGTCGTCGTCGTCGTCGTCGTCGTCGCATCTAGAAGCGTCCTTCGTCGATGAATTGATTTCCGGCCGATTGGACTCTGTATATAAACGAGGCTCTCTCTCTCTCTCTCTCTCTCTCTTTCTCTACGCCATCTTATCGCCGCTTAGATTTCACAGCCGTTAAGGTTTTACGGCCGCCGGCGAACGTAAAACCGGCGCCAGACGACATCAAACGCGCTCGTAATTGAAATAACGCTTAGGCGTACGGTAAGCAGAATCACGATCGGCACTTCGATCACGCCGCAGGATAAAGTCGAAGAGGACTCCGTCCGAGACGCGGAATTCTCTCAGCGATACTCTCTTAGCTCTTTAATTCGAAATTGCGCGTTAATCGCGGTCCGCGATATCGGCGGGAGGTGGTGAGGTGAGGTGGAGGAGGGTGCGATATTTGGGTTCCCTCGTTCCGTTACGTGAGAATATTAAGTCTCGGAATTCCGTCGCAGGAATATTAAGTAATTCGACTCGCGCTGAGGTACATCAAGTCAAATATCACCCTTCCTCGTCCTCTATTACCCTCTCGTCAACCCCATCTCGTTTCCTCTGCTATTACTCTCTCTCTCTCTCTTTCTCTCTCTCGCCGAAGCGCAGGTGACACCGCGGGATTAATTTGAGATTCACATCGACTATCAAAGTTACTCTCGCGAGCAAACAGAAAGGGTTGAAAATCGCGAGGTGTCCCGGCACGACGCGACGCTACATTACGCGACCACCGTTACTCCCCCCCTTCCCCGGTGTGCGCGTTCTGTACACCGCGGGGGCAAATAAATTATTTCCCCGATAAATCCCCAAGTTTCGCGGAAAGTTTAGTCGACGTCGTCGCGGCAGGCGGGCGGGTAAGAAAGAGCGAGAGAGAAAGGGAGAGATTACCGTCTTGCTTCCTGCGGAAAGACTCGATTAAGAGCCACCGGTGAATACAGCTCGCTAAATGATTCATCGTTACCCGAGTGCTGGAGGGCACGGGAGGGAGAAGAGAACGCAATACGGTCGAGGACAAACACGAGGGCGAAATGAAACCCAACGCCGAATCTCCGTCCGTTCTTTTTTGCATTGCAAATCGCGCCGTAAATTACGGGCATTCGTCTTCGTCCTTTCCAGCTCGCGCGAGCTGCATGCGCGACGCCGACGAATATTGTCGCTCTCCCGGCCCTCGCGTTGCCGCGAAGGTTCACCGAGTGTATAGCCATTGTGCTCGCGATGTAAGCGCGCAATCAATGTCCTCTTGCTTGCTTATACATCCGACGGTAAATCGCGACTGTTCACAATTACGACGAGGCTGTATTATAAAAATGCGCGCATGGATTTTGTATTCTCTCTCTGTCTTTCTCTCTCTCTCCTTCCCTCAGTCCCTCCCTCCCACTCTCAGGCACGCCGTGACGGCGCACAGTGACGGTGTGCGTTCTCTATGTATAAATTCTTGCGGAATAATTCCGGTTTCGTGAGTCGCGAATCAGCGGTGAAAACGAGTTTCTCTCCTGCAGACGCGACCGGGTGAGCTCTCACGCGCCAATTCGCGTTCGATTTGGGGGGGAAGAGGCGAAAGCGTAAAACGGGAAGCGAGTATCTCGTGAGAGACTGAGATGTGTGAGTCGAAGATGTAAATGTGACAGGTTATGAGGTCCTGATTGACACGAAGATCCAGAAGAGCGAAAGAGCGTAATTTGTACGTCGCGTCTGACCGGCGCGGCGCGGCGGTAGAGAAGCAGCCGCGAGCGAAAGAATTTGCGTCTTGACGTTTCGAACGCGCGTCGCGGAAATTCGGAAATCCGCTCGCGTCTGCCGCAGGAAGCCGCGAGAGATCCTGCGAGGGTGCCGCCGCCTTGGTCTCGGATGGTAACGCGAGGAGGTAGGTAGGTGGGAGTGAGAGGAGACGCGCAGGAGTCTGCGGAACGGGGGCGTGGGGGCTAGGGGGAAGAAAGGGGTGGAGCACTAGGGGGGTGGTGCGGAGAAGCTGAAGCATCGGGAGGAAAATATTCGAGATTCCAGGGGAACCGCGTGATGACTCAATTTCGCAAAGACCGTTAAATGGCCCGCTATGAACCACGCGCTACCGCCGGCCGCGTTCCTTCTCTGTTTTTGAAGGCCGAACATTCTTCGCAGGGGGTCGGTTATGCCGGCTTAGGCATCTCCATAGAA